TTTCTTTCAGATTAGCACCTGTTGCATCAGATCTGGTTTTAAATGTTTTTTTTTTCTTCTTTTTTTGCAAGTTGTTTTTGCTGGAAACCTGTCTAGACATGGTGTTAAGAAAATCAATCACATGCACTTCTGTTGAAATTGTAAATGCAACGATTGGCCAATCACCACTGAAAATGCTAGTTTGTTGATGGCATACACACTCATTGATTTCTGTGCTCTTGCGGTTTCATCATAAACAAGCTAATGCAGTATATGTCTAAAGTTTTTTTTTGTTACTAGAAAAAACATGCTGTTTCCCTGACATTAAAGTTTTTTGTTTTTTTTTTGTTACTAGAAAAAACATGCTGTTTCCCTGACTATAAATTGTCATAAATAATAAATTTGATTAGCAAGAATAATAATAAGATTTTATTAGTGTATCTTGAACATTTTTTTTGTAAGTTTGCTATATTCTAAATGATTATGAATGATTTTAGAAAATAAAAAAGTACAAAATTATTAATAAGGTGAGTTAATAATAAATTTATAGTAAAATGAGATATCAGCAATGCAAAACAAAAGTTGCTTTGTTATGATTGTAAACTTTATAAGTTGCAACACATTCTGGTTACATGGCTCCTACTGGTTTTTCAAAGTCTTTACTTTGGTTGTAATCGCGTGTCTGCAGTCAGTACAGAAAAATGAGCCGTTGTCGCAGGAAACCTGTCTGGACAGTGTTATCTGCTGCTTGGTGTACAGAGCAAAGTAAAGGCAGTTCAGCTTACATTATCCTGACTCGTGTAGAGGAGTGTAATTTTCTTCTGTTTTCCACCGAGACTGCTTTATTTCTCATGAATAAAGATCCTCCATTATAGAGTCTCATCCGGCTTTTCTATAATCAAGCTCAGATGGATAAAGCTCTCATAGTCTCCCACAAGCACAAACACCTAACTATAGCATCTCTTATCCTCAGGATTTGTACCCAAGGCTGTGCAGTACACATTTAAAAAAAAGTGTATGTTCTCAAATATGGGCATTTTAATGGAGTATTTTGTGCTGGCGGCGTACAATCTAATCCAGGATAAAGGAGCATGAGAGTGGATTATCTTTTGGTTAGTTCAGGTGGCCCACTTTTAGAGAACTGCCATGCCTGTTTGAACTGATATAATCTTGATGAAAATCTAAAACAATCACTCTTTATTTTGTAGTCAAAAACACACAATATAGTTGTAAATATAAGCCATATTCTTCATAGTTTATTATATCCAAAATCTACAAAATCTAATGTCATTCTAAACAGCCATCAACAAATCCAGTCACACTTAAATTAGTTCAATAAAGCTCAATCAGCTCAAACAAATGCAAACGAACCCAAACGAAATTGAAAACAAGCAAGTTTGCTCACAAATAAAATTGACATTTTTTGGGTGTTTAGAAGTCAGAGGGAAGCAATTCTCTCTGCAATTACTATAATTAGGGGATAACTTTCGTATTACGGGTTTGAACCCTACACAGCTGCTCAAGCTATTAGCATGTAAATTGTACTGGGGCTTTTTTTCTGCTACGTTTTCCCTCTTTCTGTTTCCTGATGATGGAATGATGTTTTAATGAGTGTGCGCAGCTCTTTCCAGCAGAATACCTCCTGGAGTTTCACATCCAAGCCCAATTTATGCCAAAATGCACTTTCATTTTGTTCATTTTTGCTAATTCATGTCAATATCCACCCACATGCTCACCTATAAACAATATGTAATTTTCTAGATAAAAGCTTCTTGTAAATTGTCAGGTTGTGTTTAAGCATGTTCTTATGTTCCCTGTGTTGTGTACTGATGGTTTGTGTGTAGAATAGGATATTCTGTAGTAGTCATGCTTAAGTAAAATTACCAGCTCTTTACTGAAAGTGTCTCTGGTGAGAATTAAAATGGCCTTCCATCAGGACCTAAATTAGAAAACAAGAAAGGACCATTTTTATTTTCACCAACTATAACACGAAATCTGCATGAAATTTATTTATTTATTTAAAAATAAATAAATACAAACCTAATTTCAAGCTTGGTGAGATGTTAGTATCCATTCATTTCAATTTTAAAGCTAGTCAATTTAGTATTTTTGTCTCTCGGGTTTAAAATTTGTACCATCTTCCAGACTGAAATTCATCTGCGTCAACTCTCACATTATATTGTATGGAATCTTTATTAACACTGTCCATTATCATTATTCAAATACATATTGCAACATTACAAATTGTAAAGTTGGATGACTACATTACCCCTATACTAAAAAATCTTTTAGATGGGAAGCTTGTGGCTAGGATCCACAAGAAAAGAAACCAAAAAGCCACTCTGGTGACATCCTTACATTCCTTTTTTATTTACAATCTCCTCACTGTTCACTCATTTTTGCATGTGTTGTTATTCTGACCTGGTCAAGCGCGAGCGTGTGGTTTCCTTCACCATTTTCTATGCGCTTTGTGCTAGGTGACCGTTTTCTTAGAGAATGACAAACGGACAAACCATTGCTGCAGCTCTGATGTAAGTTTATAGAGAAAAGTAAAAAGCACTGCAATGTTTGGTTGCGCTCTGTTTGTCTGAGGTATTTAGTCTATCGTTATTACTGAATTGTGTATATTCCATGCAAAATGTGAAGCAGATGGGCATGAATTGCGATAAGCTCACGGCATTCATAAAATTTCTGATGTTTTTCAAGATATACCTGGAAAATGCGCACGTCATCTGTGCGCCACTTGCGCACCTTATGCACATTGTGGAAATCGCACGCTCCCATTGGAAATGACAAACTTACACCCTAAGCTTATAGGCATTGCTTTCAAGGCGTGTGTTTACCAGCCACATTCTAATAAAACTATAGCCTTCATACCAAAAATCCATACCAAACCTTTTTTTTTAATCGTCATTAACAATGGTGTACGGTCAATAAATACCGATGGCAAATTTGTCACCCAGCCCTAATACATCTGTAACTTTAATGAAGAACAATTTTACTGAATTATTACATTTAAGACAGTAATTTACAATTTCCATGTTATTATACAATTTCTTTACCTGAACAGTGTTTGATTCTGCAGAAAATTATAAAGCACTGTTTATTGGACTTTTATGTTTTCTATTTTAATCATTTTACTTGCGATTTCTTTCTTTCTTTATTTATTTTCTTTATTTATTGATTTGCCCATACAAAATCAGCCCAATCTAAATTATTAACTTCTTTTCAAATAAAGCTATTCAAAACATCTGGTGAAATTGTGTTCGTATCGCAACATTTATTGCAGAAAAACAAAACATTGCAATGTTCGATTTTTTCAATATGGCACAGCCCTAGTTGAGAGAAACAGTTGTGTGTGTGTTTTGGTTATTATTTCTCATATATTTAATAATGAATATAAAATAGAACCCAAGGAAGACACATTAGTAAAATGTAAATGCTAATGGGTTTTATATGCCTATGGATGCTTTATCTTCAAACGATTACACTAAAATACATATTTGCATGGAGACGTAACTTTTTGCACTGCCACAGACTTCCACATCTAGTTCCCAGCGGCCGTTGTCACTCATGTCTCTTAAAGTCACCAGTTCTCATTGAAAATGTATGACTTGAGCTCGCTGCAGATCACTGTCAATGTAAGTACTCTTTTAGATAGCCCTGCTTTATTAGGTCATTGAATGCTACGAGTCTTGATCGTTAAAATCAGCATAAATCTATTGACAGCTCATTAATATTTCAGGTGGCTTAGAATGGCTTTGACACAAACAGACTGCACAATAAAAGCGTTCTGCTGTTAGATATTTATTGTAGAGTAAATACATGCCTCTGTGAGGAGGAGATTTCTTTATCGCAACTGTTTCGAAGCACTTTGTGTGCAGCGTGTACAAGATAAACAACACCACAGTACTTTTTTGAGGTTTCGTTCAAGCCAACATCCTTTGTAATAAAAAAATCTCTTAATCCACCACCAAAAGAAATCCTTTCTTATCAGCTACTTTAGAAGAATGGACTTTCTTTAAGCATTAATGTGCTAGCGTTACCTCGTCAGTTATCGATTTTTCTCATACTTTCTCGCTTTTCTTCTTTCTCCCGCCCCGGTCTTTCTCTTTCTCTCCATGTCTCCTGCTGTGACTCTACTCACTTCTGAACCTCCATTACACACAGACTGATGGCTGCCACTGTGAAAGTGGTGCAGGTCTCCTCTGTGATAGTTACTCCTTCTGTAACACTGCTTGGACCAAGAAGCATTCATGTAATTATCCAGACGTCATTTTCATGGTCTGTAAAGAAAAAAATGCAGCATTTTACTGTAAAAATGTGAAAATCTCAAAACCATGACAATGTGTGTTTGCAAACTCAAAATACTGATGTGTTGTATATTTTTCATGGCATAGATGTGGTTTTAGAAACGCTGTGATGTCTCATAGGTCACAGTTAGGCTTTCTGTTCGCTCAGCTATGTCGATATTTTTCTCACAATAAATCAAAGAGCACTCATCCTTTACTTTTCACCACATCGCTCTCCGTCTTGCAGCTTTGAAAGCGCAGCCGGTCATCTCTCTTTTCTGCAATGGAGCGTGAGGCTGTATTGTCCTAGCGTGAGGTCTCAAGGTTCATTTGAGCTGAGTTTCTGAGCTGTAGGTGGCCGTTTTTCTCCCTGTCAGCTTGGGCTGGAGGCTTTTAGCATTTGCGTCAGATGGAAGGAGAGCAGATAATGCTGTGCACTTTCAGCCTTTTAAACTGAGTGTGTTTGTGTGACCTGAATAAAGGAGAAAACTTCCATTTAGTGGTCAATAATTTGCACAATTTGCTGTCTGTCATCTTTCTGAATGGGCATACTCTCCAATTTGGTATTTGTGTTTCATTTAGTTTGATCTAAATATCATCTTCCTAATAAGGGCTTTGGCATTGTTGTATATTTGGTTATTAATTTGCATTATGTAAGAGGCAAATAAGAGGCAAATGATCATACTGAGTTTTATGTGTGTGTGTTTTTTTTTGTTTTTTTTTTTGCAGCTGTCGGACGAGCAACCGAAAAAGTTTGATAGTGACATCCAGCACGTCTCCAACGCTGCCTCGACCCCATTCACCACTGCACGGGCATCCAGGTAAGAGATATATGTCAAATATGTTTACCAGAATGCATTTGAGCTCCTTTGTGCGTCCAAATATGAAGTGCATAACAAACAACAGGCAGAAACCATAGGCAGCTATAAGCTGTAGCTTGGCAGAAGTTTTATTCTCCACAAAAGAGAATTTGTTGCTTTAATATTGTGGTAAAATCATCCAAAATGACAAACAGAGTTAAGGAGCATTTACTAAGCTTGGTTTTGTAGTGTGTTCTACTCATTGGTAGAAGAGAGAGCTTTAAATTGGGAGAATGAAAGCAAAAATGATGAAAGCTAGCAAAGAAATCCAGATGGCACAGACAGAAGGTGGTTCTAGTGTTATTTCATCTTACCTGAGCATTTCAATACGTGATTATTTTCATAACAGCATAGGCCACCTGGAACGAAGAAGGGGATAACGTCATTGATATTCATGGGGAGTTGTAAAATGAGCCTCAAAAAAGTGTTGCTTTAAGCATGTAAATGACAAAATGTGACTATTTTCTTGGCCCTATTCTAAAATACATTTGCACTTGAGGAAAACCACACAGCAAAACATGCTTTTGTTGTAGAGTTTTTCTGTCGTTCCTTGTCTAAATATCATACAATTATTAAATCAAGAAACATTTTTTATACTAAAGAAAAATATTAGCTTGTTTTCAGATAAATATGTCAGAATTAATAGCCAGCATCAGGACGTGGACACACTGGGGCGCTGTTTTTGCATTGCAGTGTTTATGAATAGATTACATAAAAAAGAACGCGAGTAATCTTGACTAACTATACATCAGTCTAAACCTACAACCCCTTAAGCAGCCAGTGCGTTAGTTGTTGGGAAGCTTTTAAAGAATGTATTTGCTAAATTTGTGTAAGTTGTACAGAAAACGCTTATTAGATATAGAGTACATATCATCATAATAACAAGACACACATGCATTGCTGTACATCACATTTTATTTTGAAAGGTAAGAGTTCCATCATGAATTTATCATTCATATACAAACAGACAAAGAAAATGTTGTTTCTGTGACTGTTCTAATCGCAAATTTTGGAATTGTACCCGTGTAAAAATATGAGTATTTTCCATTTTCCTTTACGTTTTTATAATTACAGATTATATAATTAATTACATGAAATATTTATGACAGCAATTTTTATTCCATATGATTGTCTATTCATTTTTTTATGTCACTGTGTCTTCCGGAGACCTGTTGTTTACATTGTTTACTATGTTATTTACGCACGAAAACAGCGTCTTTGTAGTAAAATGCAAGACGATGTGATAGCTTACAGTGTTACAGATAAAATGAAACCGCAAACTCAATAAAAAGTCAAAGTTAAAGTTTCTAAAATCTAAACAAAGCAGTCGAGTATTTTGACGTACTGTATATGCTATCTGTGAGTCACTTGCTTTTAGCCAGTAACTTTAAATTCTAGTTTGACTGATGGAGAATTTAGCCAATGGGTGCATGGTCTTTCGAAATACGGTTATGTTTATTCATCTATTGGACATGTTGTCGTTTTATTGCTCTCTGTGCACGGCCACAGGTTTAGTGCCCTGTTAATTATTACGCAACGCACACATTCCTGCTCTGCTGCTTAGCTTTATGCTAACAGTTCAAGCTAATGGCAGAACGGCTGGTTTGGAAAAATATTAAGTAAAAATTAGGTTGAGTTTTATTTAAGATAAGCTAAATAATCTGCCGATGGGGTAAGCAAAGTAATGTTAATTTAAAGCAAAAACATGATTATTTTGCTTACCCCATTGGCTGGTTTTAAGGAAAAACTCAACTTAATTTTTATTTTATATTTCTGAAAACAAGACATTTTTCATTAGTCGAGAAATTGCTTCTTGATTTACTAATTTTTTAGATGTGTGAACTAGAAACAAGACAGAAACTCTAAGGAGAAACACTTTTTTTTTTGCAATGTATGATGCATGTTTACATATATATTACATCACCTGAATGGAAGGAACTGGTGAGTGGATGAGACTAATCATTTATTTACTGAAAACCCTTGTTATGGAAAGGTTTGTGCACCGGTAGGATATGCCAATGGCAGTTATACTTTTTGGTGACATTATCATTTTGTATTTCTCCAGTTTTGAATATGGTGACTGATGCATGTGCTGCCGTTTCATAAAAAATGCATGTTATGCACATGCACAAAAATATGAGTCAGATTAAAACACTTCATTGTCAATTCAAGCCCTCTTTTATATAAGACAACATCACAAAAACCCTTTTATTAGGTCATTAAATGGTACGGGCCTTCTTTGTTAATATCTCATAAATCGATTGAAGACTCATTAATATTTCAGGTGGCTTGGTATTGCTTAGACACAAACCGACTACACAATAAAAGCTTGCTGCTGTTAGATCTTGATTGTAGAGTAAATAGAGTAGGAGGTGTGAGATTTCCCAATTTTAACCGTTTTTAAGCACTTTGTAGTCAGCATGTACAAGATAGACTACATAACATTCATATTATGCTTCTTCACAAAACCCTGAAGTGAAGCCTTGACCAAAAGAAATAGTTTTTAAATTTCATACTTATAACTCTATTGATTCATATAAGCAAAGTTTTAAACAACTTTTAAAAATACTGAATGTGAGCATACCTACTGGTAATACAGTATTACATGTATTACTAACACCAACGTTGTACAAATACAAAGCTACACTAAAAATATATATCTGTAAACAAGCAGTTTTCTGTATTTGGTGATTCTTGTTTTTTTTTTTTTTTAATTCTTATATTTATGCTTTTAAACAACTTTTAACTTTGAAAAGATTGAAAAAGTGATTTTTATTAGCATTTTTTAAAGTGATATATTGTTGAGTTGGTGTTGTAAATTACGGTACAAAATTTATTTCACTATACTGTAAATTGTTTCTTATGCATTTTATTATTTTAAACTACTAAAATGTCAATAAAAGTCACTATGTTAAACTCTGGAATTGAATTTTTAACATCAAAAGTCGACAGAGCAGAGATCAAGGTCCCAAAATGCAAGTCACAATATATGTAATATATGTAAAGCGATTAACCAACTTCTTTTTTAAAGTGTATCCTTTAACTTCACGTTCAAAAAACTGTTTACTGTTGATGGGTATTTTTATTAAATTAAATATAATATCAGTCTTTTTTTTATTGAGCTTTCTGTTCTGTGAGGATCCAGCCTCAGTAGATAGCTGGCTATGTAGGCAGTATGAACGCTGGACCAAAACTATACAAAATGTGCACACGTCACATGGTGAACATCTTGTCGAAAAAAGGAAATGTGTTGCAGGCAGCTGTTCACAAAATATTACATTATAACTCCATACCAACCATCAAATCTCAGTCTGCCATAGAGTAACTCTAATGTATTACTGGGATTTCTCATCTAATTCATGGCCATTATGAACGGATTGGCAGTTGACATTTTGTAATGCAGTTTCTCAGTATGCATTCTCAGTATCTGTATGCAGACAGATTTGTACTTTCCGTCTTCTCTGAAATACGTCATTCTAAGTTTGAAAAATTTCTTATTAACCTTTTTCTTTATATACCATGAGGCAATATCGGATTTATGCATTCCACTGAATAGTGTGTTTACCTAACAATGTAGTTTTTTAAAGATCAGTGTGTTGTATAAATGGGAGTAAGAAAATACTTTTGTTTTACAGAAGTTATGGCCTCTACCTGTGGATTAAATTATCATTAAAATAAACATTGCTCATTATGAGTAATAACTCCACAGTTAAAGATTATTATTTAGATTATAAATCTGAAGAACTGCTATAAAATTATGCTAAAGAGCGTCTCTTAGAAGTAAGTTTCATAAGGAAAGAATCTATGGGTGGCCAAAAGAAGCCATTAGTCAAAGAAACCAATGTGAAAACACATCTGGGATTTGCCAGAAACCATAATAGTGACCCATTTGTAATGTGGAAAAGATATTTTGTGGTTAAAGAAAGCTTTTTAAGTGAACTCTAATATGATTTACTTTGTGCAAAATGTGATGTCTAACACAGGCCACAAAACACCATATCTGCAGTGAGTTATGATGATGGTTGTTTTATGCTTTCGCCGCTGGCCATTTTATTAAAACAGAAGCAAGAAAGGATATTACAGTACAAAATAGAGGGGATGCTGCAGTAAAACCTTTAAAATAAAGAGACAAAAATGGCCATGACCACAAACACCAAACCAGATGTTGTCAACTAATTGCTTACACTCAGTTTGTTGATTTCAGTTGATTCATTAATTATGAATGAACAATATTTTATTTTCCTGCATCTGCATTCATTAGTGCTCGAATATAAATAAAATGTTGTTCAATGCTAAATTGTTTGTCCATGATACATTAGGTCATTTTACTATGTACAATAAAGTGTTAAATATGTGTATATGTGGAAATTAATCTATTTATTAAATTAATATGTAATAATTGCTTAGAAATTGTTCATTGTTATTGATCTGTAATTGATTAACTATAGCTACTTTTATTAAATTGAACCTAAAATGTTACAAGCTTACAGATATGTGGCAATGAGTGATTGCAATGTTTTAGAATATGTTTGTTTAGTGTTTAAAACATTTTTATTATTAAAATAGATTTATTATATGATGTTTTATAATTCTAAAATGAGTATTAAAACATTTTAGTGTCTAAATAAATAATAAAGTAATTACTCTTTCTTTCAGAATCAAACAAGAGGAACAGTTAATACTTTCCAAACGCACCCTGTCACAGTTGTCACAGTAATGCTTTAATAAAGCTGTAGCTGGTGATAAACACTTAATAAAAGTGCTGTAGCTGCAGTGGGTGTATCCCTTGTGTCACTTGCACATTGTGGAAAATCTGAGCATGAAAGCAAAATGAAGAGATCAGCTGTCAAAGCCAGCAGACTTGGTCTTTCTGTGTGCAGAGAGAGAGATTAAAGAGATGTTTATAACTGATCTCAGATTGTGAGTGCACACAAACCACACCATTTTCATGCTGTTCAGTGACCTAAAATTATTGAGTAATGTGCTAACTGTCCTAATCATTGACGTCTGCTTGCCAATCCATCCACTTACTGATTTACTGAATTAAACCATTGTGTGTAAAAAGTCAACATTGCTTAGTTTGATGCCACACTATAAATATAGAAGATGAATAATTATGTTGTGCTCAGTCCTGATACAAACCACATGAGTTTTGCTGGAAACGGTTTGTTTTTGTTTGTGCTGCATCGCTCAAAGCTGTGTGACTGCAATATTTAAATGAACGAATCTAAAAGGGTACATTAACCCAAACGCGGCTTCGTTTTGAGCACTTCAGAGCCATTAGCAACATTCTAATGCAACTGCCAACAGAAGCAGCGGAAGCTAAATTATTTCAAACTCAACTGAGCACAATCAACAGGGGGTGAGCACTGCCACACAGCACTCATTACAGGCTGTTTCAGGAAGCTGTTTGCCAGGTTATGACACCAGCAGCACAAGAATTAAATACCGCAGTGCTTTGTGAGGTGCCATTATACTTTAGGTAGGAAGATAACTGAAAAAAATGATTAGCTCTGCTGATATGATGCTGCTATTTCTTTGAGTTCATCAGATTGGTCTTTGCAAAACAAAACAAATGAGCATAAAAAAAAAATAAATAAATGAGTTCATAGAAAAAAAAAAGATTTTTTTTTTTGCTACAAAAGGCTGGTGTCATTGCATTAATGCAAGACTCTTTAGGGGTTTTCGCACTAGAAATAGTTAATGCTGGTTCATTCTAAAACCAAGGTAAACCTGATGTTTCGACAATAGCTTCAGATTTCACAGCACATATAATTTCACATTTGTACAATCCAAGCCCTATTTGAATATTTGGGGTACAGTTTGCATTTTTACTGATGCAACATAGCATGTTGAAGATATCCCATGACCCTTGATCCTTGTTTTCAGTTGCTATGTTTCCTTCCAAAAATGCTAATTAACTTTATATGCAAAACTGGAATATTGCATAAAAGATGTGAGAAAAAAGCAGCGTTTCTATCTAATGAGTCAAAGTGAACAAAATAACTTCCTCATGATTAACTGGCACTAATTATTAACAGTAAAACTGGAATGTATTGTGGTTGGAGAAGCTGCGTGAATCTTTTCTTCATTTAATAAACGACTTGTGCTTCTGAAGGCAATCCTGACACGCAGTGAACGCGCGGTGGCGTTTGAAGGCGTGAGATGCAGAGCACTGATGCTCTTGATTTTGGAGGTGATTAATAATATAATAACACTAATACTGAAATGGTTAAGGCACTTTACAATGACCAAAACAACATTTTAGATGTTTTAGTCTGGTCAGCCTGCTGGTTTATCCATTCACACACATTTTTATCATGACATGATCTTTTATAACAAAATCACATGATTTTTTTTATGTGCATACTGGAATTTGTTCCTTAAAAGTGTTTCCATCACTTTTTATTTTTTTATGTGCTTTTCAAAAATTTTTGAGCATCTTGGCATTTCCATCAACTGTTTTTTTCTTTTTTGCGCATATCCAAAATGTGCATAAAAATAGGTGAATGAAAACGTAGCTAATGAAGTGTACATCAGATTAAATGTGGAATCCCAAGAACAGAAATATTATTTACATTAAACTCGTGTTACCAAGACAGGGACTGGCGCATTAGTATTGCATTCCAAAAACTCAATTTTCATGAAACCGTATGACTGGCTGAGTGGCCCAGATCGGCACAGAATGGAACACCTAAGCAAGAGAACTGTTCACCCAATAGTGGAAAAGCCGTTTGTATGTTTGGATGTTTGACATAAGAACAAAAATGCATGCACTCACCACTTCATCTTCATTTATTCTGGTTGGTCACATATATTCCCAGTGCTAACTGAAGAATGGGATCACATCTTTTGGTTGGCAGAACACCTCATGAATTCTTCTGTATTCATATTAAATTAGTGTTTTAAAAGTATATATATCTTATGCAATTTATTTCCTCATGTGAAGGTTCAAAAGTGTCAGATTCTGTGTGATTTTTCACACCATTATCCAAAAAAGTGATTAGTTCCACATTCAGCTGTGGTGTGAATGTAGTATGTGTAATTCAACAGGGTGCTGATTGGTTTTCATATCTCAGCTGTGTCTCATATGAGCAAGTCTCTGTTTCTTTTTGGCTAAACCTGCATCCACTCGAGTTTTTGTGATGAAAAATAAGCAGGTGGTTCACTGTGCTGAGCAGCATTGTGCCCTCTACTAGACACTCCGTGACTGGATTCCACTTTAAGTGGATGCATCTCCATGACAGAATCACACTGCTCCATATCCCAATCCAGCTGTGCGCAGCTGTTCCTACAGTCTCTTCCTGACAAAGAATTATGCTCTCATTAATATTTAAGATTTGGCATAGGCTGCTCAACGAATGCATTAATGCATGATTAATGCATTGGGGATTGTGACCCGAGCCGTACCACATAGTCCAGATAGGAGCGCCCCATTGCTCGGATTGACTGGATTGATTTATTATACCTGGATCTTTGCTTCCTTTATTCACACAAGACTTGGAATAGAATTATTTAGATCAAATTTTCTCTCTTTCTTTCTTGTGTCATTAGTCAAAGCAGTGATGCACGTCTTAATCTATAAACCATACTCTACGTAATTCATTCTAAATTGTGTTATAAAATGCACCACATTGTTAAAGGGTCCATGACGTGAAATCTTCTTGCCATAAAAATGCCACTGGAATTGAAATAAAGGGAGCTTTCATGGCCAAATCCCTTGAATATGAATTTGAGCTTGAGTTAATCAAAAGGTGATTCTTTGCTCATGGCCTGCAAATCATTAAATAACATTCATTATGCAATATCACTGCACTTGAGGCATTTATAATGGAGAGGCCTGTTGTCTAAAGCACTTAAACACTGTAAGTGCTTCACTTTCCAAGCGCTAATCTATTCTCAGAGCTGTGCAGGAGAAAAGAAAAGACCCGTGATCAAAGTGTGTTTTATCCTTCTACCTCTGGCCTACATAAGAGGTACACCCTTCTGAAGGGTTTTGTTATCTTAAAAGGGCTTTGATGAATAAATAAAGGGGAAAGATCAGCAGTAAAGAAGAGGTGAGAACCGTAGGCCAATTCCATTTACTTACGATGGGCATAATATTTTTCCAGGTGGCCTGAAGTATGGTCTTTTCTCATTTTAACAGTCTGGTTATAACAGTGGCAGAGTTTCTGCAGGTCTTGAAAAGTTTGTATTTGTCCTTGTAAAGTTTAAGGTCATAAAAGTTCTTAAGATGGAGCAAAAAAAACTTAAATCTATGAAATTATGTCATTAAATGTAGGATAAACTGCAAAAAGGTGTGTATATATTCAAAGTATTGTCACCAATCTTGCTGTATACAGATATATGTGTATATATATAAATGTGTATATATATTGTATGTATATATATATATATATATATATATATATATATATATATATATATATATATATATATATATATATATATATATATATATATATATATATACAGTTGATGTCAGAATTAATGAGCCACCTGAATTGATAAGCCCCCCCAACCCCACCCCCCGTTTATGTTTTCCCCAATTTCTGTTTAATGGAGAGAAAATCTTTTCAACACAATTTTAAGCATAATAGTTTTAATAACTTATCTCTAATAACTCATTTATTTTATCTTTGCCATAATGACAGTAATAATATTTTACTAGATATTTCTCAAGACACTTTTATACAGCTTAAAGTGACATTTAAAGACTTAGCTATTTATTTATTTAATTATTATTATTATTATTATTTATTTTTATTTATTTATTTTTTGCATTTAACACAACAAGAACTTCAACATTTTAGTAGGAGTAATTTCTCAGTGAAATTTCATATGCGATTAGAATAATTAAATGATACATTGTGTAATCAAATACATAAAAAAGTTTTATTGATTTTACAGCTTAAATCTATTGCTTTTGCTTGAGATTCAGAATGTATCCTTTTTTTGAGAAATTGAACAAAATTCAGTAAGTTTCTGCATCCAAAAAAAAAAAAAAAAAAAGTCAATAAAAACATTTCTTCCGTTTTTTAATAGATATGCACAGAAGCATGCAGAAAGACTTTTAATTTTTCAGTAACCTGGGTCAAACGCTTCCGGTGAACTGTATGCTGTTACAAAATTGGTGCATTTAAATATGTAAATATTAAAAATAAAATATGTCTGTGACTTGGTTGTTGTGAATAACCCCCTAAATGTCACATTTCTGTTCTATTTCAGGAAGCAGCCCATTGGACAGCCCTCGCAATTTCTCCCCCAACACTGCAGCCCACTTCTCTTTTGTACCAGCTCGAAGGTGAGAGACATCACTACCTCAGTTCAAAAGCATCTACACAAGCAAAACATTCAACTCTAAAATATTGCATAGTCTGCAAAACAAGTTGTAATAACTTTTAAAACATTTTCGAATTAAAATTAGAGCAAGTTCGGAGCTAGTAATAGCTCTTTGCTCTTCTTGGAAATATCGTCGTCTCATGCTTCTCATCTGCTGGTTATTACAGTCCTCGCTTTCAATTAATTTGTAAAATCGCATAATCCTTCACTGTGGCTCTGAATAATGACACCGGGAATGTTAATGAGTAAATCTGAATTGGTAATTGAGCAGCAAAAGATGGTAATGCTTTAACAACTGGGAAAGAACACACAGAGCTGATGACCCCAGGCTTAATTAAAAGGATTCGTTTGAATGTCAGCCATTGAGTCATCATCCAGTGCAAATCGCTCCTGTTACTACACTGCCACCTAACGGACAAACTGATAATAGCGCTTTTAAATACTAGAACCACGTTTAGATCTATGAATTGCACGAATCTGCTAGTACACACACAGAGAGACACATAGATCACCTTACAGTAGCTTCACTTTTTAATGTTTTACTTTCTCCCATACAGCCATGGACACAGGGCTGACAGGTAATAATCACCCACTTCTCTTACAACATTGTTTTCTGTGTCTGCTTCCAGCATGGCCGTCTACATCGAATATCATGTGTCTGTTTCATTAGAGCTGACTGTCAGATATGTTTAAAAACATCTCAGACAACTTCATTGATGTATCGAAATTATCAATTATTAATCATTCTATCTCATTCAGCCAGCTCGAAACAAACAGCCTGACTGTGTGCTTTGAAGTGTTATTCAGTCTTCAGAAATGCTCCACAAGTTTCCACTTTCATACTTCTGTGCTTGACATATCAATTTTTTCATCATTTGATTTTTTTTTTTTTTTTGCCTTTTCATGTTTGTTTATTTTTGTTGACAAGATATACAGTTGAAGTCAGAATTATTAGCCCCCCTTTGAATTTTTTTTCTTTTAAAAGTATTTCACAAATGATGTTTAAAAGAGCAAGGAAGTTTTCACATTACGTCTGTTAATATTTTTTCTTCTGGAGATTCATTTGGTTTATTTCGGCTAGAATAAAAGCTGTTTTTAATTTTTTATAAACCTTTTTTAAGGTCAAAATAATTCGCCGCTTTAAGCTATATATATATTTTCAATAGTCTACAGAACAAACCATCGTTATACAATAACTTGCCTAAATTACCTAACCTGCCTAGTTAACCAAATTAACCTAGTTAAGCCTTTCAATGTCACTTTAAGCTGTATAGAAGTGTCTTAAAAATATCGAGTAAAATATTATTTACTGTCATCATGGCAAAGATAAAATAAATCAGTTATAAGAAATGAGTTATTAAAAATATTCTTTTTAGAAATGTGTTGAAAACATCTTCTTTTCGTTAAACAGACATTGGGAAAGAAATAAACAGAGGGGCTAATAATTCTGAATTAATTCTATTAATTATTTAATAGAATTAACTAATTAATTATTAATTCTAAAACTGAAAATAATTTGTTTGGTATGTTGTCAAATCAAAATGATTTCAATATTGATTCAAATGATTTAAGTATGGATACTATCATTTAAATGTCTTGGGTGGGTTAATTAATTAAATAATTAATTTAAATTAATTTTAATTAAGAAATTGTATGCACAGAAAAGCTTAATTTATTTGCTAAAATCAATATAAACGGCTATATTGGAAATGTAAATATGCTTACATTTCTTAAAAGTATATTTTAGAATGTGGTTTTTTCCTATGATGGCAAAGCTGAATTTTCTGGTTTCAGTCTCCAGTGTCATGCGGCTCTTCATAAATTGTTCTAATATGCTGATTTAGTGCTCAATAAAGATTACTTGTTATTGCCAACATGGAAACCTTCAACTGTAGACTGTGTATGTAAGGTCCCGCACAAGCAGCTTAGCCATCATCAGATATGCTTATGGCTCTCATATGCAGGTTGCACAGCATCATCTTCATCAAAATTTTCTTGCCAATTTTTTCTTTTTTTACATGGGATAAATCTGTGGTGCTTTACTTGCTCTGATTGTGTGGTATTTAATTATTGAGCATGTTTACATGCACACTAATACACTAATAACTTACAAAAATCAGCTTATTAAAATAATCTTTTGTTACGGTTTACATGCAAACCAATTACCCGGCAAAGAAACTAGGGCTGCACGATATAAAAAAAATATTACTATACTACTATATACTATATTACTATATTGCGCTTTTTTGTTTTGCTATGATATATTGCGATATGAATATAATTTCACCAGATGGGATTTGAATGGCTCTGTTTGGAAAGATTTCACTTATTTAGATCGACTGGGCTGATCGAGATGTTTTCTATGCAGTTCTTTTGCATAAATTGTGATAAATTCCAAGCAAAAAACACATTATTTAAAAGTGCTTTAATTTTCTGGGGAGTCTAACAGTATTCAAGTACAGAACTTGAAAAATCTAATATAAAATAACATGATCATCATTGTATAAATAATAAATAAATTTATAAAATGTAATAATTTCTTTATCTTTTAATATTTATTTGAAGAATGTAATCTTATAATGTGACAATTGCACATAAAGTGCACACAAATAATATATTATTCAGCTGTAAAAGAAAATAAAGTTTGTTCAGAATACTTAATTAATAAATCAATTTATGTGCAAGTATTGACTTCAAAATATAAAGGTTTGCATATGCAAATGGATTTGTTAATTTATGTATATTTTCATGTTTAATATATCATCTAAACCCAGGTAGAGTATTGCGACAAGTCAATGAGAAACTCAAAAATCTAGCTCTTGGTTTAAGCTTGAGTTGTGATAAAAGAAAATGGCTTAGTTGTCAACTTAAGCTGAATGTGCATGTAAACACACTCACTCATTGTCTGAATGTTCTAAGAATTTCAACAGTTTTATAAAGAACTGATTTTCACCTTTTCCTCACCTTTCAGGACTGACGGTCGTCGCTGGTCTCTCGCCTCTCTGCCGTCCTCTGGCTATGGAACAAACACCCCCAGTTCGACAGTCTCGGTGAGTGTATTTGTTTGTGCTCTTGTTCTTTCTGTAGTCCCTCTGTGTTGTATCAACTCCCAGATATATGCATCAATGTTTGGTATTGCATTTGATCCCCAGCCTTAACTTGCCTGGAAGGTTTATCCTATTGACCCTACAGTGGGATAAACTCTAGGTACAAAGTAACCCCCTTGCCTTTAGCTTGAAGTAAAGCCAGTGGCTTCATATCAATGCGTTCACTTCAAAAAAAAGTTCCGTCCCTGAAAATTGACTGTAACTCGGTCTGTCTGTTGCTTTCATTGGGGAGCCAGTTCAAACTGCAACAGTCCCATTGAAGTCTCTGCAGAAAGATAAAAAGAAAATTTTTCTAGTTTAGGACGAATTTTTATTCTGAAGGCTGAGGAGGTTTAATTTAGCTCAAAACACCACAGGAAATAAAATCTACTGAAGATCAGAAAGAATGTCCAGAAATGATTTTAGAATGGAAATGAAGTCTATTGTTAGGTTAGTTTAGCTTTTTACTGTATTTTATTGGCTATTATCAATCATGTTTTATACGAATTGGAATTATTTTTTATTTAAAGTAAATAAAAGTCTTAAATAAAGTCTTAATAGTCTTTAAAATCTTCACTTTCTTTACGAGTAATATGCAGCTATGAAAATAAATGAAAGGGATGCTTCACCTCAAGAAACCCCTTATGTTTTTCCAAACCCTTGACAGTGGTTAATGGACCCAGCTCATTCAAAGTTTTAAAAATACCAAGAAAACATCCTCAAAACAGACTGTATGCCTTCAGTGGTTCAATCTGAATAATATTAGGCTACAAGACTACTTTTTGGTGGACATAAAACAAAAATAATGACTTCGTTCAACAGTTTCTTCTCCTCAGTGTTAGTATAGGGTGCCATAATGAGCTCTGTTCAATGATGTATACCCGTATCAGCAGGGCAACCAAGCACAGCACGCATAAAGAGCACAGTGCTATATACTGACATTGAGGAGAAGAAACTGTTGAATAAATTTGTTTCATGCATTTGTGTTATCCTCTTAGCTTCATAATATTCCAATTAAATTACTGAAGGTTTATGTGTGATTTAAAGGATGTTTTTTTCATAGTTGTTTGGACTTTAAATGAGTTGGAATCACTGTTTTCTATGGATAATGAGAGAGCTTTTCGATTTCACCTTAAATACAGTGCATCTGAAAAGTATTAATAGCGCTTCACTTTTTCAAATTTTTTTTTTTGTGTTACAGCCTTATTCCAAAATGGATTAAATTCATTTATTTTATCAAAATTCTACACGCAATACCCCATAATGACAATTACCTCTCAAGCTCTATCAAGTTGGAAGGGAAGCGACGGTGTACAGCCATTTTCAGATCTCTCTAGAGATGTTCAATAGGATTTGGATCTGGGCTCTAGCTGGGCCACTCAAGGACAAGAACATTCACTGAGTTGTTGCGAAGCCACTCTATTGATATTTTGGCGGTGTGCTTTGGGTCATTGTCCTGCTGGAAAATAAACCGTCACCCCAGTCTGCGGTCAAGAGCACTCTGAAGCAGGTTTTCATTCAGGATGTCTTTTTACATTGCTGCAGTCATCTTTCCCTCTATCCTGACTAGTCTTCCAGTTCCTGCTGCTGAAAAACATCCCTGCAGCATCATGCTGCCATCACCATGCTTCACTGTAAGGATGGTCTTATATTGGTGATAAGCGCTGTCTGGTTTTCTTCAATTGTAACGCCTGGCATTTATTCCAAAGTGTTCAATTTTAGTCCCATCAGAGCAGAGAATTTTGTTTTTTATGGTCTGAGAGTCCTTCAGATGCTTTTTTGCAAATTCCAGGCTGGGAGTGACTTCTGTCTGGCCACTTTACCATACAGACTTGATTGGTGGATGGCTGCACAGATGGTTGTCCTTCTGTAAGGTTGTTCTGTTTCCACAGAAGGACACTGGGGCTCAGACAGAGTGACCATCAGGTTATTGATCACCTCCCTGACTAAGGCCCTTCTCCCCCGATCACTCAGCTTAGATGGCCGGCCAGCTCTAGAAAGAGCTGGTGGTACCAAAACATCTTCCACTTCTGGATGATGGAGGTCCACTGTGCTCATTGGGACTTTCAGAGCAGCAGAAATTTTTCTGTAACCCTCCCCAGCCTTGTGCCTCAAGACAATCCTGTGTCAGAAGTCTACAGACATTTCCTTTGTCTTCATGCTTGGTTTGTGCTTTGACATGCACTGCTAGCCCTGGGACCTTATATAGACAGGTGTATGTCTTTTCAAATCCTGTACAATCAACTGAATTTACCACAGGTGAACTCCAATTAGGCTGCTGAAACATATCAAGAATGAGTGGAAACAGAATGACCTGAGCTCAACTTCACGCTTCACGGCAAAGGCTGTGAATACTTCTTTACATGTGATTTTTCAGTTTTTTTATTTTTAATAAATTTGCAACAATTTCAAAAAATCTTTTTTTACATTGTCATTATGGGGTATAGTGTGTAGAATGTTGAGGAAATAAATTTATTTATTCAATTTTGGGATATGGCTGTAACAAAAAAAAAATTCCGCATGCACTGTGCTTTAAGACAAACAAAGCTCTTGAGTGTCTTAGAGTGACATGAGGATTAATATTTTGCGTAAAATAATGGTATGTAAATGTTAATATCAATATTTACACAACAAAATGACAATGCTGTAACATCAGAAAAAGTTAAGAAATCAATATTTTGTGGAATAACATAAGTCTCAACAAATGAAAACATTAGTTATTCTGACCATATTCTGAACAACAGAACAAAAACAACTATTCACAGGGCGTTATAAAGTAAAAAAAAAAAAAATAAATAAATAATATATATATATATATATATATATATATATATATATATATATATATATATATATATATATATATATAAATACCTACAACTACAATAAATCTATTAAAAAAACTAAACATTTTCATTTGAACCTGGACATTTTCAGTAGATAAAAAAAGAAACTTTACGTGTGATTAAATACAAATAAAAAAAATACTGTTTAAGTATTCCCCCCTCTATTTGGCCTAAAGTTTTCAGTCACATTTTCAAAATCGGTCAGCGTTAGCCAACAAAGGCAGTTGACTGACAGTCAGGGCAGCCTATGCAATGCCTTCTGTCCTTGTAATCCCTCCCTCTCTGCTTCTCACAGTCATCATGTTCATCTCAGGAGAAGCTGCACCAGTTGCCCTTCCAGCCCACTGCAGACGAGCTGCATTTCCTCACCAAACACTTCAGCTCGGAGAGCATCACGGATGAGGATGGGAGACGATCCCCAGCCATGCGTCCGCGCTCCCGCAGTCTCAGGTACAAACACGTACACATTCCCATTTCACAGCAATCAGAAGCTGGCCTTCAAGTGAACATGACGGTTGTGAGTGTGTGATGTCAGCTGAGCCCTCAGGCTTTCACTCACTCGCTGTTAAAGGCCAGATCTGCAGCCCTGACAGGAAAACTGCCACACTTCATTCTCTAGACTCTGACTCTCTTCTTCAAGGTTGCAGACATTTATCATTCAGCCTCTCTGCCCTTCACTCAGCTGCCTTCACGTGTTCTTTATGATTCTGTCCATCTGTCAGTACTATGCACAAGTTTCACTGCACCTCAAAATCCAAAGAAATATTACAATTCTGTTTTCATGGGAAGTCTAATAGTATTTGCAAATGCATTATCAAAGTTTTTTAACGGTAATCACCAGTTTTTATTACTTTAATGAAAAAATATACACTACCAGTCAGTTTTTGGTCAGTTTTTAGCTGCATTTATTAAATGTAAAAAAAAAAGATAATTGTTAAATATTTATAAAAATTTTTGAATAACTGCTTTCTTATTGTACATAGTTTCAAATGAAATTAATACTCCAGGCCTTTTTGCTTTTATTACTATTAAATTAATAGTATTAACAATAATAATAATAATAATAAATATTATTATTATTAATAATATTAGAGGATCACTGAAGGATCATGAGACTGAAAACTGTAGTAATGAAGCTGAAAATTCATCTTTAAAATCACTTGAATAAATTATTAAATTAAATGATAAACTAGTTTTGAACAGTTTTTTATAGTGCAATTACTTTTCACAATCTTACAATTTGTACTGTATTTTTGATGTAACAAATGCAGCCTTGGTGAGCAGGTGAAGCTTATTTTAAAACATTTAAAAATCCTACTAACCCCGATTTTTCCATATCGGTAGTGTATATTGAAAATTTTAAAGGCTGTATTTGTTGTACTGGCTTTATTCCAGTTAGCTTTATATTATTTTTTAAATTTTGATTGTAAGTGGAAAAACCTTAATGATATAACTAAAGTCTAATTTTTAAAACATCATATCATAAATGTTGAAATCCATCATGTTGATGACATGAAAAATTAAGAAATGTATTTAATAAAATAAATAAATCAACAAAGCTAACATTGCATTTAATAGATATATATTATATATATACACAACAATTAATTGATTATCCCTTATATACAATATGTATGCGTTTATAGTGTATAGTATTGCATAGAGCTGTGAGATAAAAGTCGTCTGTGTGTGATAGACTTACTAGCCAATTGAGTGTGGATGCATTCGTTCTGCCCAAACAGAAGTGTACAACCAGACTATGTTATTTCTGCTGTTATTTCATGATTTGAGTTTTTCATTTGAGTCTTTTTATGAGACTTGGTGTCATGATACTTCAGCTGGTATAGTACCATAACATGAATTAAAGGTATTGCGACAACCCTTACTGATAGTATTGCCAATGACACTCAATCTAGTAAATGTTGGAGTAAGTTAATATCGTTTCAGTATCTTTTTTAACTAACACTACAGCTTTTTGAGTTGAATCTTGAGTATAAAATTAAATTGCAATGTCTGTCAAAAAAAAAAAAAAAAAAAAAAAAAAAAACGGCACAGCTGTAGCACTACACATGTATAAGTAACTAAAGTGTTATAGCCTTTTTTCCATCACAGTGTGGCCTAAATTCTTCCTGTCCACTTTGTTCTTCCCTGAAGCAGAGTGGTATGTCTAGCAGTCTAGTATGAGTGGACTTGTATGATGAATCTTCCAGTTGCCCAGACTTCTGCGCAACACCTGACAGATTGAATCATTTCTGTTCCGCCGCTAAGAAAGAGCCCTCCTTCATGAGCTTCTTATCTGTAAACACATCTTTCTTCTCTTTCCCCCCTGGCTCTTTCTTTCTTTCTGTTGAGATGACTTATTCAGGAAACACTGGCCTTCCTCTTTCCGTATCTAGACACACTCGGCAGGGGGTTCAGCACTGCAGAATTAGATCTATAAATATTGGATGAGCTGGGGAGGTTTGCCTTTGCCATATCTTACAGATTATGGCTTCCCAGGATTATCCATTTCTACCATTGATGGAAGAGTGAAAAGACTGGACCGTGTGGAGGTGGTTGAGGAGATTCGAAAGCTCTCTGCAGTAAAAGCTTTAGCTAGTTAATTAAAGACTAGGATGTGAAGCAGTATTATGCTAATTTCACACCCTGGACAGCAGACACGCAGAGAGAATTGACAGCGGCGCTTCTTCATTCACTGGTCACATACGGTTCTTCATCATTCTTCACCCTTACATTTTTTTAACTCACTCTAACACACTGGAGAAGTAATGAGCTCAACATACAGCAGTCATCATCCATCATCCACATGTTGAGCGATGTGGTAGCCGTAGTTTCAGATTAGAATATTATTTGAATAAAGAGCTCATTGACAGAATATGAGAAGCATATTCAGGATTCCTTCCAACAAGCAGAGCCTGTCATTTGTCTTAAAACGAACATGCATTAAATAAAATCTAAACGTGAGATGACTATTTGACAGTCCGCATGGATTTCTTGGTGATGTCATCCGCTGGTGTGTCTGTGTGTGTGTTTATGTTAGCGCAGACTACTCTGTCACGGCCAATTAACCAGCTGATTTCCCTGGTTCCAGCTCCTCGGAGAGATTTAGAGGTCATTTCTGAGCTCAACTGTGACACATTTACTCTCTCCCACTCTCTCGCTCACTCGCTCCCTAGCTCTCGCTCTCCATTCCTTTGTTTGTCTTTTGTTTCATGTGGTAACATCCCTTTCCTTTAGTCTTCACATACCTTTAAGATAAGTTTACATTTTTATAGTTCATGAAGAAAATCTGAGTGGGGATTGCTTGTATAAATCTCACCACTGTGATGTAAGCTCATTTTTGATGATATTAACAAAACAAAACAAAAAAAACTATTAAAAACAGTCAATATCAAAAGAAAGAACAGAGCTTCAGTTTTCATGATATTAAATGGGAAAAGTCAAAAAGAGACACTTTACAAATGAAATGTGCAAATATTCAAGTTCAATATTCAAAGTTATTTTTATCAGCTCTTATAACATTTAAATAAAAAAAAATCTTTCTAACATAAAACTGAGAAAATTGCATTAGTTTAAAAGAATTCAAAGAAGACTTGTATTGCTTTGTGGGTCTGAAATTTACTTTAGTATTAAGCAGTTTGGCATAAACTGGCTGGTAGAAAAAAGGTAACACAGTGATGATTTGTTACGATCATTATCTATTAATCCAGAAGAAGCATTAAAATATTTAAAACTGATAGTGAAGACTAAAATATTGCAAAAGATAATATATAACATAATTGCTAATTGCCTGAACCATTTAATAATGAATAAAGGTTTTCAGAGAAAAAGAGCAATACATAAATAAATAATTATTAAAATATTCTGAGATGGATACACTGTAATAAGAAATGATTTATGAGAGTAAAAATTAACAAATTAAAATGATTTCGGAAGGATCATGTTGTGCTAGAGCAGGGGTGCCCAAACTTATTTCTATAAAGGGCCAAAAACCTGATATCATTAAGAACCATGGTCCGAAGATTAATATACAGTAGCAAGTTGCTGTGGCTAATTTCCTAAATAATTTCATATTATTTATTAATAAACGGAAAACATGACTTGAATTGTAGTAAATATGAACCTTTCAAATTATAACTTTCAATTAAATTACATTTATCACAGAAGTGACGTTTAAGGCTTTATAAACTAGGCAAGCAGAATCTGCTTTTGCCTCGATTTGCTCACCAAGGTCTCTGCTTGGTGTTACCATGGGCCAGCTTTGGGCTGTGGGCCCTAGTTTGGGCATCTCTGTGCTAAAGTAATGACTGATGACAATTCAGTTTTGTTATCACAGTAGTAAATTAAATATAGAAATATATTTAAATAGAAAACAACTTTTTAACTGAGTCACAGTGTAACAGTTTCACTGTATTTTAGATCAAATAAATGCAGTCATGCATCTCTAAGTGAGTATGAGAGACACCACTTTTGTCATGAAAAAGGAGAATTCAGGATTTTAATTTAACTAGTAGGTAATCTGGAGATCTTTCAGCTTTCTTTTTTTGTAAATACCAAAATTAATTGTTTGACATATGACACACTGTTTTTAAAATGTAGATGTGTGAAAGCATAAAGTTCAAAATAAAAAAAAGAGCTGTTTGTGTGTACTGTACACTGAAAAAATGATTCTTTGGATTTACAAAATTTTTAGTGGTTTTTAAAGTGGTTGTAAAAGTTGGGCTAAATTTAAAAAAAAAAACTAATTAAGTTGAACATTACTAAATGTAATTAGTTTGATTAAATTCAGCCCATATCAATTGTTTGCAACAATTTAGCAAAAATATTTTATTTCAGTGTGGCCAAGTTAAGTTTAATACTTGGATTTAGAAATTGTTTGCAATTACTTCCTCTCTTTTTATTCCTATTTCTATTTTAATACTGTGCTCTCTAACTCGAGCACTCCACATTACTTTTTCTTTTAACACATTGCATAAGAAGAGCAGTTATTTCTTTATTTCGTCCACTGTTTCCATTATATTCCCTCACAGAACAGATCTGCTTCAATTAAATCCTTTCGGCTTCAAATTATAATGAGAATCTTTTTCAAGGTCATTTCTCCAAAACATTCAAGGCTACACAGACATTTCTGTGTCCATCACAGAAAATAATTACATTCACTAATTATCATCTGTCTGAATGCTGAAAGTTATTGCACCACAGGAGGTTCACGCTGATTCTTTGCACACGCTAAATTCTTGATTTAATAAAACTAGCGAACGGCTTGCAGGCATTTTCTTTCTTTCATTTTCCCTCGTCTTTTCTCTCGATCACACTCAGCAGGAGAAATATTCTCAGTGTGATTGTTAATGCAGCTCCCTTCGGCTGCGAATCAATCTCTGTCAGAGTTAACCTTTACCGCAGACGTGCTCGGATCGTAATTTTTGATTGAAATGGCTCTCAAGTAAGTTGAAGATTTGACTAGAATATTTTCTCGCTGTCTCTTATTGTCACTGACACACCTGTAGGTGAGCCAATTTAGCATATAAGTGTGTGCGCATTTCGGAGCAGCACCCTGGTTAGTGTGTTTCCATTCAGTCAGGTGGTCTAATAGGCTTCGATTGATGACTTATAGCATTACCTCATCCACAAGGTCACATGACCAGCTTACCTTCACTAACCGGGTGAGTCATACAGCACCATCTGCAATCTGTGTCCCTGAAACACACACACATACACACACACACACACACACACACACACACACACACACACACACACACACACACACACACACACACACACACACACACATAGTTACTTATCTACTCTGTATCTCTCAATATTCCCTATGGGACATCTCAAGTTGAAGATGCTACTTTGACATGAATGAGGTTTGATATGCCAAAAAATCACAGGTGCTTCAGTCTATCATCCCCATTAGATTTTAGGTATGGACACTGCTAATCAACTTCTGCTCAGTGACCCTAGGGTTTTGTCCACTTACTGTATGTCTTTCTTTTCTCTGTTTTTCAGCCCTGGACGGTCACCAATATCATTTGACCATGAGATTGTCATGATGAACCATGTCTACAAGGAGCGTTTTCCTAAGGTGAGGTCTTAAACTGAAATACTAGATAGATTATTTTAACAAAGTAATGTACGTTATTGTCATGACCTGGGTAAGGCATCAATACACATCACAACGGAAAAAGGAGATTTAAAAAAAATCACAAATTTAAAATGAGTAAATCTGCTAGAATGTTAAAGGGATGGTTCATGCAGATATGAAAATCACTACTGACTATAGACCCTTTTCACATTTGTGGGTTTCTCAGTAGTGGAAGTCATCATAGTTAGATACACTAAAAGCACAGTGAATCTGAGAGTACAACCAATGATTTTTTTACAATCTTATTTGCTGAAATAATAAAAGAAAAATGCCACGTTGGTGTTATCAAGACTTTCAGAAAAGGAAATAAATAGTGTGAGACTAATAACGGCAGCCAGAGGAGAGAATACTGTCAAATTTACTGTCTTATATACACTCCATTAGAAACAGCTCGCACAAGCGGTACTTCGATTTTGGGCATTTGAAGCAAAGATGATATAATACACAATATAAACATATAAATGTTCAAACATTTTGAAAAAAAAAATTTAATAAATAACTTATATATATATATATATATATATATATATATATATATTAAAAACTTTCAAGAATTTAAGATGCTGATGGTCGTCAAATGTTCAGGCTTGTGAAAAGGGTCCAATTGATATTTCCAATATTGAAAGTAATTAAAATACACAAAGATATTAATTAAGCCAACTGTTTGCACAAAGTAGAAAAATAAACAATGTAAATACATAAATCATCCTCTGTTGGTTTAGATCAGTAGAAATAATTGCATATTTTTTTTCAGTTTTATGTCAGAATTAGTGTACAATGATGTATTTTATTTATTATTATTTTTTATTTATCTGTAACACCACAGCTTAAGTACCAATTCTCACTATTAACTCATGGCTTAATACCATTAAAATATTGCCTGTGTAATTGTACATATTCTGCATGATCTGTCCTAATGCTCCCCAATACCTAAACCCAACTACTACGTTAATAGCTATTAATAAGCCACTCATTAGAAGTTTAACTAGGCAAAATGATTAATGAATTGTTAATATTGAGAATTGCATACCTTAATACATTTTTTTTTTAAAATATCAACTAAAGAAATTAAATATTACAAATCACTGGATGCCTCTCTTTTCAATGGTTTAGCTTTTGTTGAACTCAAACTTACAAGGATCCTTCTGTGCTACAGGCCACTGCTCAGATGGAGGTGCGTCTGGCCGATTTCATATCCTCCTCAGCTCCAGAAAAAGTCATGCCTTTAGCTGATGGCGTCCTGAGCTTCATCCACCACCAGGTTATCGAACTGTCTCGAGATTGTCTGGACAAATCTCGTGAGGGTCTCATCACCTCCCGCTACTTCTATGAGCTACAAGAGAACCTTGAAAAGCTACACCAGGATGTGAGTATGCAAAAACTGCTATGTGTTAGAAATGTATGACGGCATATACACTATCGCTCAAATTATCGAATCAGGTTATGAATATTGTGTAATGATTTTAAAAGAAGCCAATTCTGCTCAACATAGTAACATTTATATAATTAAAGTAAAATCTGTAAAACTGTAATGTATCATTACTATTTATAAAAATTATTTTCTTATTGAATGTAATTTATTCCTGTTGTTAAAAGATTTTATTTATCTTCTTTTGAATAAAATAATCCTAAAAATAAAATAAAAAATATCACACTTTCCTTGTAAGTTTAGTTTTTGTAAGTTAATAGTTTCCTTAGAACTATTAAGCAGGAAATAAAATCACTATTGTTTTTTTTTTTGTTAGGAGCATTGTTAATGATTGGGAAGCAGTAATAATTGATCATAATAGAACAGCAAAGCAGCATTTTATAATGACGTCTTAAGGATCATGTAAGACTAAAGGCTGAAGTAATAATGCTGAAATTTCAGCTTTGAATCTAAAGAATAACTGCATACACTACACTCAACGTTTTTTTGTTTTCTTTAATAAAATAATACAGCTTACACAACCTGACAAAAGTCTTGTCGTCAATCCCAGTAGTAAAAGAAACAAACAATAACCTGACTTCTAGTTGACCATTTAGAAAAGTGTCAGAAGGTAGTTTTTTACGATGCATCATCTGTTGAACTGCATCCCAGTCATCACAAATACTACAGAAATCTATTGGATCCACCATGGACCCAAGATTCTCACAGAAATCAGTCAAGTTTGGTAAAGGAAAAATCATGGTTTGGGATTGCATTCAGTATGGGGGTGTGTGAGAGATCTGCAGAGTGGATGGCAACATTAACAGCCAGAGATATCAAGACATTTTTGCTGCCCATTACATTATAAACCACAAGAGAGGGCAAATACTTCAGCGTTCCTTCTCCTAGTTCAGCCTCCACATCAAAGTTCCTGAAAGCAAAGAAGGTCAAGGTGCTGCAGGATTGGTCAGCCCAGTCACCAGATATGAACATTATTGACCATGTCTGGGGTAAAATGGAGAAGGCATTGAAGATGAATCCAAAGAATCTTGATGAACTCTGAGAGTCCTACAAGAACACTTTCTTTGCCATTCCTGATGACTTTATTTGACTTTTAGTTATTTGAGTCATTTCAGAAATGTATGGATGCAGTCGTCCAAGCTCATGCGAGTCATACGTTGTCATACATTGCCAAGCCATATCACCCATGCAACCCAAGACTGGTTACTCTCTGAAGCTAAGCAGGACTGAGCCTTGTCAGTTCCTCGATGGGAGACCACATGAGAAAAATAGGTAGCTGTTGGAAGTGGTGTTAGTGAGGCGAGCAGGGAACGCTCAATATATGGTCTGTGTGAGTCCTAATGCCCCAGTAAAAGTGAAGGGGACACTACACTGTCAGTGGGCGCCGTCTTTCGAATGAGGCGTTAAACCGAGGTCCTGACTCTCTGTGGTCATTAAAAATCCTGTGGAATTTCTTGTAAAGAGTAGGGGGTGTAACCCCGGTGGTCTGGCCAAAGTTCCTCAGCGGTCCTTACGAATTCATCCTCGTCCATCAAATTAGCTGTATCACTGTCTCTCCACTCCACCAATAGCTGGTGTGTGGTAAGCGCACTGGCACCATTGTCCTATGGCTGCTGTTGCATCATCCAAGTAGATGCTGCACACTGGTGGTGGTGTGGAGAGACCCCCCTCATGATTGTGAAGTGCTTTGGGTGTATGGCCATACACAATAAATCCGCTGAATAAATACACATTACATTACATAATATTAACTCTTTTTTCACCTCACCATGACTTTATATTCTATACTGTACATTATTTCTGTTCAGTGACAGAATTTTGTCTCAGCAAATTCAGATGTTACAATCCGACTTAAATAATTAAAAATCAAAGCATGATCATATTATATTTTGGTAAAATAAGTGTAATCTAGAGGCCTTTGGCTTTCATATAAGTCACTTCTGATACCAAGTGATCAACTAGAAGTCAAATTATTGTTTGTTGTTCCTAAACTTAGATAGACGACAAGATTTTTGTCAGGTACCTTACCTTCTTTTAAATCAAATAAATGCAGCCTTGTGGAGCAGGAAAAAAAAAGGTTTCTTTAAAAACATTAACATTTTTTACTTACACTACCATGCCAAAAAGTTTAGGATATTTTATGTATTTTGATATTTCGAGAGTATTGAGATGAGTCCATATCCATAAATCCAAATCTGCCAAAGTGGTGATGTCATCAAAACAAGTCACTGCTTTTGTTTTCCATCGTTCATTCTGTGGTCACCTGTCACATCTGCATTAGTCAGGAAACAGGTCGCTGATGTCTTGATTAGCTCAGTCACAGCACCAGGGGCCAGTGTTATGACTCCCAGAGGTCCCATTCTCACCCCACAAATCATGTGTGCAGGAATGTACACGACTGTGTGTTTGTTGTGTGTGTATGGTATAGGAACGGGGGGTGCAGCACCTTCCTGATTTTAATTTCACACCCCAGTAACCACCACTGGTGACGGATGAGTATCCTAGACACCCAAAGAGGAGGGTGGGGGGAGCAAGAGAAAGAATGGGTGGGAGTGAGAATGGAAGGAGGGATCAGGTCGGGTTTTCGCCTCTTTCGGTTGGTTGTCCTTAACCATCCGGTTGCTGTTGCTTGCCAGAATCAAAAACACACACGCCGTGATCTCATGCAGTCGCCGTACTATCATCGTAGCCATACTTGGCATTCAGGCGAATTGGGATGACATCATCCAGGCTGTGCTAATTGGCTGTTTTAGTTTGGGAGCCGATGGTGACAGGTGGGCCAGACGGGGATCGCGGTATAAATCGCATCTTCAGAAGGTGCTCAGAATTGCATTCCAGACTTCTCCATTTAACACCTTCATCGCTCGCGCTGAGGATGTCCTGCGTCTCATGGCAGAGGCGGCTGGAGGAAGAGGAGGTTCTTCAACAGATTTTAGAGCGCTGGGAGCAGAGCGCACTCAGAAACCATGTGGATCTAACAGTTGAGTTTCTGGTTGTTTTTACTTTGCAGGTTTGCATGGAATCAAGGTCATATGGAATCATAGGGTGATCAGTAGATGCTGTTTTATGATGTTGATTTGTGGACACACCGGTGGTCCCACAATCTAAACAGGATCTGTAGCTAAACTGTTTTAATGGGTGATAATTCATCTGTTAGAGTTTACTGTATTTATATTCAAATTGTAAATCAAAGTTTTTTTGTTTGGTAGTGTTATAGTCGATAACACTTTAAACTTATTTTGTAAAAGATCCACTTATGTTAAAATGACATGCTGTTACCAACAAGAATTATTTTATTTGACTTTATACTTAAATAAATATACAGTGCTCAGCATACAGTATAGAAGTACAACCCTCATAAATCTATCTTTTCAATTCATTTAAATTCATTCATTTTTTTATAGGACGCTATGCAATATTATATATGTGCATATACATTAGATTAGTCAGTACTGAAGCCGAATCTGGAGCTTATCCAGCTAAATAACTTACGATAACATTCCAAAAACTAGTACACCCAAATTTATGTAATAAAACAATCTTACATACAAATTTAAAAATGAGGAAAAATCAAGAGAAGCAAAAAAAAAATCAATAATTAAAATTTAGTAGGGTGTAATTTCTTTTTCAATATTTTTGCTTGAATTTAATTGTGTTATCTTTTCTACATATTTGTTTTGGTAAATAAAATTTGATTTTAATAATTATATCTGTTTCATTAATCTGTTTTGTTTCAATGCACCAAAATACATTGCCTATAATCACTGAGAAATGGATCAAAATATTCATATTCAAAATGGGGTGTGCTAAATTATGCTGGGCACTGTAGAACTTTAAATGATTGGCACTATAACATTATACTTGAATGTGTAAAATAATTTGTAAAATATAAAGTAATATAAATTGTATATTGAAACAAAATCACTTATATTGGCTCATAATAATATGGATGTATATATATATATATATATTCTCATTAATGGGCTTTTATTTATTCAACTGGTCATTTTTCTTTAGGTCAGACTAGTTTTACTTTTTAAAGTGACCAGCCTATATCATTCAGTCTCCCATGGTTGCATCATTAAAAACCACAGGAGCCAATCTCAAGTGCGGGTCATTTGAGTGACCTGGCTGTCACCATGACGTCTGGCTCTCGTGGAATCCTGGGAATTTTCTATTGACCTTAAGCTTGACCTTATGGGCAGCTGAGTGCAGAGTATCTCATTTCATATAGTTTAAAGTGTGCTAATCCCTTCACCATCCTACTTCTCACTCCTGTTACTTCTGTCTGTCTATAGTGTATTTACTCTGTGCAGAGACCCTTTATTATCCTGAGTATGTGCAATTCACTGGCGGTTTCATTACCTGTATAAATAATTCAGAGGCTGATTAGACATCCCCTGAGGTGACTGTGCTGTCTGTCAGAGATGGCTCTATTACTGTCAGCCGGCTGTTTAACCATCTACTCTAAACGGCTCTCTTCTGTCCCATTGATGTACTCTCTCTATCTGCACCTTTTATGTACTGTCTCTGCACACTGCTTTCAACTGTCTCTTATTCTAGTGTCAAAAATGTATTTAAATTCTGTCTCACTCGTTACAATGAAATTAGTCAAGTTTACCCATGTAGGATGGAATGCGGTGTGCTTTACATCTATTCAGCTAATTTCAACTGTAGGGTTAGGTAGTTTATGTACACATACTATAACTAGTTACTAAAAGTACTAAAGTTACTAAAAGACTTTTCTGCAGAAAAAGCAAAATATAGATTCAGGTAATTTGTTAATTGATTTACCTGCATCTTTATTGTATACAAAATGGTGGACCAAGACATTGGGATATGCTTAAGACAAAAAAAAAAAAGACAAGCTACAGTAGTTGATAACTTTATATGGTATAAATTTAGAGAAGCAGACTTATTTCATATGTATTTTTGTCATTCAGATTACAGCAAATAAACTGTTCATGCTTGAGAAACAATTAAATGTTTATTCAAATATATGAGGTGTATGAAATAGGGTGTCATTTATTTGAAACGTTTTGTATTTTGATACTTGTTTCAAATTTGATTATCTATTTAATTATTATTATTATTTTTTAACGAAATTCTAATTGAAATCAAAAAGTACTGTTTGACTCAGTTAAAGAATTAAGTGAATTTGTTGAGATTTATGTGGATGTTTAGTATTTTGTTAAGGAGTTAAATTAATTGTTGAGGAACTAATTTCATTTTCAGACAAAGCAACTTAACCAATGCTGGTCTTCTGTTTGTTGCCAGGCTCATGAGCGTTCAGAAAGTGGGGAGGTGACATTTGTCACCCAGCTAGTTAAAAAGCTGATGATAATCATCGCTCGGCCTGCCCGGCTGCTAGAATGTTTGGTAAGTACTAATATTTCAATAGATTTACTCTGGAGTTCTTTACATTTTTTTTTTTTTTTTTTTGCAAGATTTTAGATTACTGCTTTTCATTTCAGTAGTTAATAAAGCACATGTTCAGTACAGTTGTAATTATGTGTTATCTACTTTTTAAATCAAGACTATCATTGCAAAGTATACAAATGCACAATGACTTAAAGGTGCTGTATGTAAATTTGACACCCAGTGGTTGAACTAGGTATTACATTCCTTGTTCAAAACAAATGCAAGTGCAGGTTGCCAGATTGACCAACAGGGGCGAGTCTAACAATCGAGCATAAAGGCTGATTTAAGTTGTTTCCTAAATAAAAGCAACAGAATGCGATAGAGGGAATATTTTCCATATTAAAAGGAGTTTTTGTTCTAAACAACACCTCGAATTGATATATTAGAAAAGGCTTCTGTTTCTTGCAGCTGAACAACAGAAAGCTGACAATGCTCACCTCAGGTACACCTCATGTGCTTTATTCAGTATTAAAAGCTAACAATGTGAGTTTGAATTCCATTTTACCTGACATTTATTGCCATACTACTGAAAGCAGCAGCAGATAGTTAACCTCGGATCTTAAAAATAAACCATTTGAAGTTGAACTTTAGAACTGTGAAATAATGCAAACCAGCACAGTGACTCAGCATGTACATATAATAACATTGAAGAGGTTTAATATGTATTAACTAGATTATAAAACTTACCATTTTGTGAGTGCGTGCATATTCGGTACTTTTGAAAGGCTGTTTTTAAATTTCTGTCGTGTTTTGTCTAGTGCACTGCAAATCTCGTCATGTAGCGTGTTTTGAGGTTACACAAGGTTACAATGTAACCTGCTCGCCTAATGTTTACGCTCGTAATATTATTTGCTAATTAATAACTTCATGTGGAACTCTTAATATGCATCTCATTTCAGAGACTGCTACTGTCCAGATGTGGTTTTTCACTAAGGCAACCTGGGGTGCTGAAATATTATTGGCTAAAGTGGCATTGGGTGGGTTAAAAGAACCAAAACAAAGACAGCAGTCCGGCACAGAAGGTCCATTTTCAAAGCAGAATATCTGACTTCAGCATTGTTTTTCAGATAAACAAGAATGTTCACTTGGCATGTTTCTTAAATATCTGCTAACATATTATGGTTTTTTTATGCTTTAGAAGAGTCAAAATCTTACTCACAGCAGCTTAAATTTACTGTACTGCTGAACAAACTATGCCAGATGTTTATATATCATGTGTTGTAAAATAATGTATAGTTTTACACCACCCAAAACTGCTTACATGCAAACACAAATGTTTCTCAGACTCCAAAATGGAACAGCCGGGCTGTGTGAATACGGCCACATGTGTATTTTGAGTAATCTGGTGCATTCAGTAGTTTGACAACACACAGTACAGCTCAGCACTGATGGAGGGCCAGCAGCTGAGAGAGTAAATGAGCTGTTAACCTGTTCTGCTTCATATGCGCACAATGCATCCAAAACACCTCAGTGTGACACCTGGAGACAAACCTGCCTGAATAGGCACGCCAGCAATATTCTAAACTGTTCATTTAATTAATGACAGTCATTTTGGCTCTTACTGAGCCTTTTGTTTGTTTGGCTTTTTCCTTCTTCTCTTACACTGTAAAATGATTAAAGAAACACTCCACTTTTATAACTCCTCTATTAAACAGTTAAATTGTACCATTTTTGAATCCATTCAGCTGATTAGCCTGAGAGGAGCACTTTTAGCTTAGCATAGCATAGATCATTGAAGCGGATTAGCATTAGCATCTCATTATCCTATTGAAATCCTGACTCTTTTATATATATATATATATATATATATATAGTGTACTAAGGCTTTAAAAAAAATGAAATTTTGCTGTTTTCTAGGCTGACATGGCTATAAACTACACTCTCATTGCATAATAATCAAAGAACTTTGCTGCTGTACCATGGCTGAAGCAGGCGCAATGATATTATGCAGCGCTTTAACATAGTTCCCAGCACCAAGCCCTACTATTCCACCACCAGAATCTGTGATATCATTGCAAATTACCTTGCCAGAATGAGGAGTGTTTCTTAAAAAAGCATAAAACTGTAGAAACAGGTGTTCTAACAGTAATCCATTAATCATTATTTTACATTTTTTGTTCTGAAGTGTTTGATTTTTGATCAACTCTAGGCTAGAAAGCATCTCGCATGTACTTAATTCTCCCTATGTTTTGTAGGAGTTTGACCCGGAGGAGTTCTACCACCTGTTAGAGGCAGCTGAAGGTCATGCTAAAGAAGGTCAAGGCATCAAGTCTGACATCCCTCGATACATCATCAGCCAGCTGGGCCTCACCAGGGACCCCCTTGAGGGTAGGAGTCTATAAACAGTTGCTCTGAAAGCATTCAAACCCTAAGCTACACATAAAAAATTAAATGACACACCAAGGCAAAAAAAGAAAAAAGAAATTCAGGTTAAAGCGGACAGTCAAATATATGTTCAGTGTGGCATCTAAACACTTTTTTGGGGAATGTACAGTATGAAGCAGCTATTAAGTTATTGATTTTGCATTCTTAGTTGAGAATACCTAGAGTCACCTAAATCCCAAATAACTTAGAATAATGGAGACATCTGTTTGTTTTCATTTGTTCTCACTCTCTAGAAATGGCCCAGCTGAGCAGCTATGACAGCGGTAACCCTGAAACACCAGAGACAGAGACAGATTCCACAGATGTGAGTAAACAAATAGAGAAAACTTCTGAAATGACTTGGTCACCTTTTCATAATAACATTCGTCTAAGACCAAGTGTTTGTGTTGACATGCAGAGTCGAGGAGCAACCGTACAGCCACTCCAACCTCAGCCTCAACCGCAGCCCAAGACTAAAACACCTCGCGAGGAAGACTTCGAGACCATTAAACTCATCAGTAATGGAGCCTATGGGTAAGACAATAGAATTTCACAACCTCAAGAATGATTATGAGTCAGAGCCTCCAGGATTTCACAATTCCACAATCTCTAAATTTAACACAAAATCAAGCAAATGTCACAAATTTGGTGGAGCTTGCAATTTGTTTTCAATTGAGCCTGATTTTCCTATTTTTGGGGCTGTCAGAATACTGTTCAATATTCCGCCATGCCACAGAGCTCCATCTACATAGTTTTAAATTCAAAACATTGGAGTATTTGCAAATAGAATGTGCCTGTTTGCCGTGCAAAGCCTTGAGTTGTCAATACACACTTCTTGTCCAATGTGTGATCTGCATCATGTGACATTATCGTAATGCACATTCAAAGCCTGTTTAGGCCATGTGAGTTACATCAATAGCTAAATTTCTATACATTGTATAGGCCTTTTCATTTCGGTGAAGTCATTGGCCCATGAACATTTTCTGCTTATTATTAAACTATTTTATAACTGTAATAAAAGACAATTCAGTCATAACTTAATGTTAAAACAGCTATTATAACATTATTTATCAAACAGGAAATATGTTGGGACCATTGTTTTTGTTTACATCCCTTAAAATGGTCTATAAATGCATCTGTCATCATGAGCGTATCGTTCTCTCTTTCTTTCTTACTCTGTTAATCTTAATCTAACACTCAGACACACATGCTCTGCATCTTTTATCAGTGTGTTCAAATCTTCAAACAACACAGACTTAACATATATTTTCAAATAATAATAATATTAATGGTTTCATTTTCAAAAATGATAAAGCAGACTTTAGGGGTTATCTCTGTTTCTCAGTGTTTCCTTTATAAATTACAGAGATCAATAGTTCTGGAGGTAAACAATTAAGAAATTGGTGAATATTTTCATACTAAAACAAGAAATGCTGCAGATTTTATGACATTTTGCAACAAAAGTTAGTCTTTTTAGTAACAAAAATCTGAATCTTTATTTGCAAAATCCTGGAGGGACTAAAAAGTTATAATATGTCATCATCGATTGTATCTCCTGTGCTTTTTCATAGTCGAGTAAAAAGAAACTGATTTGCGTAAAACATACCTTTTTTCACTCAGGGCTGTGTTTCTGGTGAGGCATAAAGAGACCCGTCAGCGATTTGCCATGAAGAAGATCAACAAGCAGAACCTGATCCTAAGAAACCAGATCCAGCAGGCCTTTGTGGAAAGAGACATCTTGACATTTGCAGAAAACCCTTTTGTTGTCAGCATGTTCTGCTCCTTTGAGACAAGGAGACATCTTTGCATGGTTATGGAGTATGTGGAGGGTAAGATATATGGCATCCTTTTGAAGATGTAACTGTTCTGTGGAGGATTTCAGTATGGCATACACCACAAAGTGATGCTCTAGTTGAATTGGTTTGTATGTCTAAAGGTGGGGATTGTGCCACTCTCCTGAAGCACATTGGAGCTCTGCCTGTGGATATGGCACGCATGTACTTTGCTGAAACCGTTCTTGCATTGGAATACCTTCACAACTATGGTATTGTGCACAGAGACCTCAAACCTGACAAGTAAGGAAACCAGCTTGTTTGCAGTTGACTTTCTGTCAATTTAGTTTGCTTTGGTTTATACAGCAATTCTTTTTAATGGATAAATGGTCCTCAAATACCGACTAAAGAACAAAATGTCTGTTTTCTGCAGTCTCCTGATTACCTCAATGGGACACGTCAAACTGACTGACTTTGGCCTGTCCAAGATTGGTTTAATGAGCTTAACAACTAATCTGTATGAGGGCCACATTGAAAAAGATACTCGAGAATTCTTGGACAAACAGGTAGAAGTGACCTGTTAGACTATATATTTTCTTCTCTTTCGTTTATTCTTTTCTTTTTTTTAATACAAGGACAATATTCTCTCTTTCTCTCTTAGGTGTGTGGTACTCCTGAATACATTGCTCCTGAGGTTATTCTGCGACAGGGTTATGGAAAACCAGTTGACTGGTGGGCCATGGGAGTCATCTTGTATGAGTTTCTGGTGGGCTGTGCTCCTTTCTTTGGAGATACACCTGAAGAACTGTTTGGACAAGTCATCAGTGGTCAGTTTTCTGCAAAGAAACAGTAAAAATATTTAAGGATCATAAACCATATAATAAACTTGGTGTGGGTGTTCAACCTTTTTAACTGATACAGAATGCAGTATAATTTATCAAAACTGATATGGACAGTATTTAATTTATATATATATATATATATATATATATATATATATATATATATATATTTTTTTTTTTTTTTTTTTTTTTCCAATTTATGTTTAACAGAGCAAGGAAATTTTCAAAGTATATCTGATAATATTTTTTGTAATGAAGAAATTCGTATTAGTTTTATTTCGGCTAGAATAAAAGCAGTTTTTACTTAAAAAAAAAAAAAAAAAAAACATTTTAAGGTCAAAATTATTAGCCCCTTTAAACTATATATTTTTTGATAGTCCACAGAACGAACCATTGTTATACAATAACTTGCCTAATTACCCTATCCTGCCTAGTTAACCTAATTAACTCAGTCAAGCTTTTAAATGTCACTTTAGGCTGTATAGAAGTGTCTTGAAAAATATCTTGTAAAATATTATTTACTGTCATCATGACAAAGATAGAAAAAATACATTTTTAGAAATGAATTATTAAAAGTATTATGGTTAGAAATATGATTAAAAAAAAAATCTTCTCTCCGTTAAACAGAAATTGGGGAAAAAATAAACAGGGGGCCTAATAATTCAAGGGGGCTAATAGTTCTGACTTCAACTGTATGTACTAACCTGTAATCTTGCTTGTCTTTGAGTTATCTGGGATACAATAGTACTCTGAAGTCTGATCTGACCTAACAGTCCTCTGGGAAATGTGGTTATGTATGTTTTGTTCAACAGATGAGATAATCTGGCCAGAAGGTGATGAAGCTTTGCCTCCGGATGCTCAAGATCTCATCTCCAAACTTCTTCGGCAAAACCCTCTAGAGCGTCTTGGGACAGGTCCTCTTGCACATTTACTCTTACTTGCACAGATGCTGACTTCTTAATGTATTCCCTGGAAGACAATTAGAGGAGTAACTTGGCTATTATGATTAATAGTATATAAATAAACCTCATCAGAAAATCTTGGGAAGTCTTTGTTTTTTTTATATAATGCTACATCATTGCTCGCTAAGAAATATTTAAAGAAATCTTCTCTTTTTATGTCTAACAGGGAGTGCGTTTGAGGTAAAACAGCACCGCTTCTTTACTGATCTGGACTGGAACAGCCTCCTGAGGCAGAAGGCTGAGTTCATTCCTCAGCTGGAGTCGGAGGATGACACTAGCTACTTTGACAGTACGTCTTCAGGCAGAAGATACTAGAGTGAAATTTATGATAAGACTTTTTTCTTTACCTGCAATGCAAATAAATACCACTCGTGCATACAGTCTGGAAAACACAATCTAAGATCTCTCTCTCTCTTTTTCACTCTTTAGCACGCTCAGATCGTTATCATCATGTGGACTCAGAGGAAGAAGATGACACAAATGATGACGACCATTTGGAGATCCGTCAGTTCTCCTCCTGTTCGCCACGATTCAGCAAGGTGGATTTTACAAATGCATGTTAACTCAACACAACAGAAACTGAATAGTATAAAATTAAGGATGCCCGATTGATCAGCCGAAGATCAATTTTGGACGATAATCACATTTAATGACTCGATCAGTACTCGCCAATCTGGGCGTTCTCGTAAACCAATAGCAGGGGTTTGTTAATGAGCTTACAAGCAAAGGAAGACACACATGTCCTCCTTTATATTATACATAGCCTACAGCAGCCACAACACGTAAGGAGGTAAATAATGTTTGGAGGCATGAGCGTTTGCTGTGCTCGCATCACATAAACTAAAAAATATACCAATGCGGTGCGACCTGTCTATTGGCGCAACTCGTGTGAGTGATGTTCTCTGTGCAGCCAATGTACATCCAGTGTTTTGAGCTGCTATGACGCGAGCAGAGCGATTGCCCCTATCTAGCGTCTTATCCAACCTTATGACTTCTCCCGTAAGCTCCGCAGGTCTCTCCCGCAAATTCATAGTAGCTCTGTGATCCCCAGAATTAGTTAAAATAATTGGAAATCATGGCGACGAGAGTGAATGAGCAAGAGAACAGATCGAGAGAGGCAAAGTGATGTTTTAAGCATTACATTTCTTAGGTTAAATGAATAGAGCAGTAAAGATATCATGAGTGCACATCTTCCTCTCTCATTGAATGATCTGCTGTCAATAGTTGGAGAAAAGCTAAATATTTGAATGGTCTTGCATGTATTTAGGCCTTTCTACATTCAAGTTTTTTGACTATTGCAAGTTCACCAGAAGCTGGCTGGAAATATTAGATAGATAAAACTAATACTTTATAATATAACTTCTTGTAATATACTTACAGCAATAAACGGTAGTTTACAGGCTTATTTCCTTTTAGTATAGAAGTATTAGATTTATAGGTGTGCATTTTGAATTCTTATGCATCAAATGTGTGCTACAAACCTGTTCTTGATTGAGACATGCTGAATTTTTCTTTTATTATTTGCAATGTTTCCAAATTGCATTGTTTGTTTTTTATATCTGTTATATTATTTTCTGTGGTTGTTCATACCACTGTGGCGACCTCTGTTAAATAAGGGACAAAGCCAAAGTAAAATGAAAGAATTAATTATTTTCTGTAAAGCTGCTTCTGGCTATGACATGTTTACACCTAAATGGTTATAAGAGGTATGTTTAAGGTTTTATATGCAACATATTTAATTCTTATTCTTAGGTAAGGCAAGATCTTCTCTTAAGGTTCGTACTTAGAGGGAAAATGTGCTTAATGCATTATAAAGCTTGACGCATTAGAATCGGTACTCCGTATTGACGATCACCAAGACAAGGAATCTGTACTTGTTATCGGCTGAGAAAATCCTGATCGACGTCTCCCTATACAAAATATTCAATAAATATACAGAAGAACAAGTGTTTTCCTTGTATAAAAATTAATATAAATACACAATTAAACATGACACTTGTTTTCCTTATGTAAAAAAGTAGTTGCAATTTAGAAGAAATTGCATTAGCAGTTGAAAAGAATTAAATAAAAATTACATCTGATTTAAACAAATAACTATAAATCATAAATCAGGCTAAACCTTTCCCACAGCTGTAAAATAGGCAGATGTACGAATGAAGGGCTGGCGCATAAATGGGACAGAAGGTGGCCAAAATAAATCGAAATAATAAAATGCATCTTAATTTGGTACATTTATGGAAATGTCAAAATGAATCTAATGAATTTAATCTAGATCCTACAACAGTTCACATTTTCCCCCAAAGTTCAACTTTTTCTACTTTGAACTGTATATATTTTCGTTCTCTTTATATTTAGTTGTTGATCTCCCTCTTTCAGGTGTATAGTAGTATGGAGCGTCTTTCCTTGCATGAGGAGAAACGCACCCCTCCTCCTACTAAGCGCAGTCTGAGTGAAGAGGGAGGAGAGCGGATCGACAGTCTAAGTGGCCTAAAGTCCAGAGACCGAAGCTGGTTGGTGGGCTCACCTGAAATGTGAGTGCAACACCAGAAACGATTCCAATAAAAAAAAAAAATTAAATATGTACCACTGTTTTTGTCAAGCATGATATATTGAACATGTTTGGTCTTTTGCAGTCTCAGAAAGCGTCTCTCTGTTTCCGAGTCTTCTCACACCGAGAGTGACTCGAGTCCACCTCTGACTGTTCGTCGCCGCTGCTGCTCGGCCATCATTGAAATGCCTCGCTTCGCCATATCCAGTGAAGAGGATAGCTGTGTGGGGAGCAGGAAGACCCCTGTGAGAGGCCCTCGAGGGGATGATCTGCCTCAGGCCATACCAGAGCTCCCTGTAGAGAGAGAGCTCAGGCTGGATGAATCGCCCACCACGCCAGGATCCACTTCCAGTCAAATCAGCCAGTCCACACTCACACGTGAGTCTTGCTGAATTAGACTCTGGCATATGGTATAGGTTCTAGATTTAACTGGAAATTGTTTGAAATGTTTTAATGAGATGTACAAATCTCACATAAAGGGATTTAAAAAAAAAAAGCGTATTATTATTGTTTAAAATAACACCGTAATTGATAATTTTGATAGTTGAAATTTTTCTGTATATTTATATGGTTGTTTTTGTGTGTGATTTCAGCTGGTAGTTCTGGTGATGTGTTAGATCGTGCTTCTCGCTATAGTGCTGAAGTTTCTGAAAACTCCACTCCAAGAGCCATCAGTGATTTGGCGGCTCGAAGAGCTCGCCACAGACTGCTTTCAGGAGATACAGATAAACACACATCACGTCCACTTAGCAAAGTCATCAAATCAGCTTCAGCAACAACCCTGTCACTCATGATCCCTGCTGGTAAGTGTACAGTATATGATTGACCATCATGATTTTACAATGTAAGACATGATCCTATATCAACCTTTTGAATCTTAGATCTACTGTCCACATGATTGGGAACATGACACAATCATCTAGTTAACATCACAGTCACTTGATTGGATTTGCTGCCTTTATATATTCAGAAGAAATGTGTGAAGTGAGCTAACTTCTTGTTTTTTAGATCACCATGGTGCTTCTCCACTGGCCAGTCCCATGTCGCCTCACTCTCTCTCTTCGAACCCCTCATCACGTGACTCCTCGCCCAGCCGTGACCTTTCCCCAGCTGTCTGTAGTGTTAAACCTGCCATAATCATCCATCGAGCTGGAAAGAAATATGGTTTTACTTTACGTGCAATCCGGGTTTACATGGGAGACACAGACATATATACTGTCCATCACATGGTCTGGGTGAGTAGTACTGGGTGAATGTAGTTATTGTCGAAAAATACAGTTTGTAAATACAGCAATTTGTAGCGTTACAACATTTAAAATATGTCTTTGCAGCATGTGGAGGATGGAGGACCTGCTCATGAGGCTGGACTGAGAGAGGGAGATCTCATCACACATGTTAACGGAGAGCCTGTCCATGGACTTGTGCACACAGAAGTTGTTGAGCTCATTCTTAAGGTACATTTGTAGCCAAGTTCTTATGAGCCTTTTTGCTGATATTGATATTAAGATTCATTTTTATTTTTTCTGTTCCAGAGTGGCAGTAAGGTGTCCATCTCTGCTACACCCTTTGAAAATACATCAATTAAGGTTGGTCCTGCTCGCAAAACTAGCTACAAGTCCAAAATGGCCCGTCGCAACAAAAGAACCAAAACTAGAGAAGGACAAGACAGGTGAAGTTTAACATATAGCATAATTTAAATTACACCTATATTCCACACAAATGTTTTCCATTTCAGTTCCTTTAAATATGTTTGCTGTTCCAGTAATGGTTTGTATCTAATTTATCCACTTCAGTAAGAAGAGGAATTCCCTCTTCCGTAAGATCACCAAACAGGCGACCCTTCTTCACACCAGTCGCAGCCTGTCCTCTCTGAATCGCTCGGTCTCTTCTGGTGAGAGCGTCCCAGGCTCTCCTACACACATGTCACCTCGTTCACCCACACAGGGCTGTCGTTCAACACCTGACTCCGCCCACTCAGGTGAAGCCTTTGTTTTTATTTCACAAAATCAGTAAGACTGGCAAACATTGTTTAAATGTAATATAGAATATACAAGCCAATGTTACTTCAATACACATACTGCCATGTCAGATATTATAATCATTGATTTTTTTTTTTTTTACTTAATATTAGTTCCCCGTGAGATCATGCATATCATTTTGCTCATTATTTTTGGTAGTATTAATATGTAACCTTGAACCTTCTTTTTTCCTAATACAGTTGGTGGAAACTCATCCCAAAGTAGCTCGCCTAGCTCCAGTGTGCCAAACTCTCCTGCCAGCTCTGGCCAGATCAGACCCAGCTCCTTGCATGGTCTGGCCCCCAAGCTGCAGCGCCAGTACCGATCCCCCCGCCGGAAGTCTGCAGGCAACATCCCTTTATCCCCTCTGGCCCGTACACCATCGCCCACTCCACAGAGCACTTCTCCCCAGCGTTCCCCTTCTCCCCTGCCAAGCCACGGGCTCATCACTTCTTCAATAGGCCAGTCTTTTCCTGTCAAACTGCACTCTTCACCTCCATTAGTAAGACAGATATCTCGGCCAAAGAGTGCAGACCCTCCTCGCTCTCCTCTGCTCAAACGAGTCCAGTCCGCAGAGAAACTCGCCGCCTCTCTTTCTTCTTCATCCTCCTCTCCTTCTCCCTCTTCGGCTGCTGATAAAAAGCTTCCAGTTGGTGCCAGCCGCAAACACAGTCTTGATACCTCACATTCAGAGTTTAAAAAAGAGATGCTGCAGCGAGACCCTAGTCTACAGAGCCTGCAAGAGTCAGCCAGTGAGACTCTTATGGGAGGAAGAGTGTCTCCTGCAGAAAAGGGAAGCCTGCAGAAAAGTTCAGTGCGTAAACTGGGCAGGCAAGAAGGTCCCGAGTCTGGAACAGGAACTCTGGGACTTGTTCCTGGAAAGAGTAAATTGAAAGACAAGCTGTCTGCCATACGTGCTGAACGCCGCGAATCTCTTCAAAAGCAGGATGCCATCCATGAAGTGGATTCATCTGAAGATGAGACAGACGAAGGGTCGGAAGACAGCCAAGATGGGCGCAGAACTTGCTATGCTCCTCCTAGCCATGTCTTGAGGCCTACAACTGTAATGGCCTCTCCCCATACCATCAGAATGGGGCCAGCGGCTCCACCAACACTGGGACTTTTTCCTTCAACAGTTGCACCGCCATGCTCACCTCAGCTCATCAGAGGACTGCAGATACAAAACCAAAGTACCACTCAATCTCAGACACAAACTTCAACCTCACAACCAGCGCAAGCTGCAGTTAAACCCCCAGAACAGAAACCAATAACCTCTGTTAAAGACTCAAGTTCAACGATAATTGATGATTCGAAAAAACAGTCACAGGCACAAGACATTCAGTCCAGACCTTCTCCACATCAACCCAGTCCTCTGTCTAGTACCTTTTCCACCCAAGGCAGCGCCTTTACCTCTGTTAGTAAAGACCCATTTGTCAAGCCCACCACACCTCCATTGGATCCCCGGAGGACCCCAAAAATGTCTGAGCCAAGGTCAAAAACCAGTGGTAGAACTGATTCTAGCACTACTTCTGGAGTAGCCAGGGATACCCCAGTTGCGACTACCCCAACAGGAGGAATCACTAAGGAGATGAAGGAGGCTGACAATCGCAGACAGGCTGCAGCTGCTGCTGCTGCCTCTGCCGCCGCTGCTACCACCTCTGCATCCACTGCCTCTGAAAGTGGAATGGATAAAGTTGTGTCTCAGCTCGCCACTGTGGCCAAGAGTGTGCTTGGACCTGTCAAGCTCAATATCCCAGGTACTAAAGAGACCATGGAACGAACAAAGGACCAGCGTACCCAGGCAGATGCCACCCACCCAAAGATAAAAGAATGTCGCCTGGAGCACCCTGATTCTCCTGACCAATTGAGTCCATCTGCTGCTTCGGGCTCCCAGTCTCCACGACTGACTGAATCTCCATCTAAACAAACATCATCCAAATCTGAGCCAGCCTCAACTTCTCAGAGACCTTTAGAGGTCCCAGGGACTTTCAAAAGACAAACTTCTCCAATCCCTCAAGCTAGGGAAGAGCATCAGGATAGGTCAGGAACTCTGCAAAGTGGCACCACATCAAGGCCTAGGTCTGAAGCACAATCACAGACCCAGCAGGCAAAGCCCAGTTCCACTACGTCACGAGATAAATCCAACAAGACAACGTAGCAGCCTTGCAGAAGACCCAGCTTTAATTGAACATGCCTATTAACAGACAAATACATATTGTAACGCAAGGCTGTTGTGTTGCTTAATGTCAATATCCCTGTGAAAAGATTGTGGAAGAGAGATGATGTTTACAGGCGAGCCCAACAGCTTTATTTCAGAAGGTTTTATGCTCTGCCATTCATAAATAATTGAGGCTGTGTTATTTTTTTGTTTTGCTTTTCTTGCTTTTCCTTTTTAACAATTTTTTTTCTCAGCAGCCACAAAAACTAGAAATAATGTGTAGTTCTGCCCTCTGAGAGAAAGAGAGAGAGAGAGAGAGAGAGAGAGAGCGCAACCACATCCACTATAACAGTGTATTACCTCTTCATATTGTCTTTATGTTACTTTAAGAATCTTTTATTGTAGTAGGTATAGTTGTGCCTTAAAGCTCCACCTCACACTTTCACTTGTATTTCTTTCTGCCTATTCATCTTTGGAAGAAGACATATTGCAGCAATAAGAGTAGCGTATCTGGAGCAATTTATACAAACACACAGTTGATTGCATCACACCTGTAGTATAAGAAAACCAAACTGTTTCCATTTTTTTTCCACTTGCACTCATCTCAGCTTTCAGTTGTGTTGATAAGCTGAGATGTAAGTCTATGAAAATCAACTTGAAATGTTCACAGCCATCACCAATGTTGAGACTGAAACTGACATTGGTATCGCTGCTGTAAATTGGGAGAATGACGGCCATTAAGTGCACAAACGACATCTTTACATGTTGCTCAGTGCTCGGAATTCAAAGATGTTGTTAAAAATGATTTGGAATTACTCTTTATGTGAACTTTGGCCATCATTCACATCTCACTAAAGTGATGTAGCTACAAGCTACACAGTTTTACCTTTTCAGTTTCAGTTTCATCTATTGTTAAACATTTCGAAAGGACCATTTTATTCCTTACTCGGATTGCATATTTTATTTTCCCTCATTTTAATATCTGGACCAATTTGCTGATGTCTCTGTATATCTGTTTGCCTCGTTGTTTTTATTTCAGCAGACTTGTGTCTGGAGTGTGTGTGTGAATGCCTGTGTACAGAAGCATGGTTGAGTGTGTGTGTGTGTGTGTGTGTGTGTTCTTATATAATGCATATTTAAAAAAGTCTGTTCTTTAATTGTTTTATGCCCTAAACAATGGGAGTGTGTATTTGATTGGTGTCCTACATTGGCCATATCAGCTCTGTCTGATTCAGCCCTTTTAATGTATTTGCACAAACTCTTTTTTTATTTTGTGTGTCACTAATATGAAAACCAATAAATACAGTATCCAATTAGATCCCAGACTTGGTTTGGGGTCTTGAGGGGTTTGACCAGTAAGTGAGACTGTGGTACGTTGTCATATTCTCTTGACATAAAACTGTGTTAACACCATAATGTATTGAAAGTCTAACCTGTGGAACTTTGTTTTAACCACATTTTGCATTTTTAATCAAAGCCAATAGTCTCTGTTGTGTTTCTGCTCAGTTTACCGTTTGATTTGTGTGTATTGTTTTAAATTCAACACTTGCCCGTTCTTTAAGATCAAAAACGTCTATTTCCAATACTACTTCCGTGTCTTTGCTCAAGTGTTTTTAGTTTGGGCTTTATGACTGACGTCACATGATGATGGTATGTACAGTTACACTATAACCTAATTCATGTTTTGTCCATATGAAATGTGAATGGATGTCTTGCACATTTACACTTCTTTAGGGAATGGAGCTGTTGATAGCATTGCCGCCTGAAGCTTAATTCCTGATGAACCTAACTAAACTGGGCACTATGAACCGTGGAGATAACTGCACTTGTAACGGAAATGGCATTTGGATGAAGTTGAAATGCATCTGTGGGCTGTCAGGTTTAATATACTGCAGTATTTTCCGTGTTGTGTGTGGAGAACCCCCAGCAAACATTTTTTGCTTTTAAGAGATGTCTAATAGACGTCTAAACATGGTCGTCTTGTCTAAAACAAGTCTAAATTTGGGCTGTTTGTGAAAATCGCCTAAGAATAGGCCAAAACTGGTCGTCAAATAAACAGAAATGAATGACTACACTTATAAGGTCTGTCTATTTGATGACTGGTCTAGTTTTAGGCTATACTTAGCTGTCTATTAGATTTTCACTGACAGCCCAAGTTTAACCTTGTTTTTTTAGCCAAACTATCTGTTTGGATGTCTATTAGATGTCTATTAAACACAAAATTGTTTGCTAGGCATTGATCAGTGTTACATCCCAGTGGCAGAGACACAAATGACACAAATGACACAAATTCATTAAGCAACACCGTTACGCCCAACAACAGATGACCTGCAACTGAATTCCACTCCAAAGTTCCCATTTTCAAACCCAGAAAACCTAAATCTCCACTTGAAAATCGAAGGGCTCATAGAAACTGCCCTTAAATGTTTACATGCGGGAACATTTGTAAACTTCACACTAGTGCGTTATGTCTAAATAATGTATTATGTAGTGCGAGTGCTACGGCACATTTTGTAGCTTAGATGAGGGAAGACAATGCATTTATTATAAGATTTAACAGGGTGTAAAGAATTGTTCACTTGACAAGCCTAGGTTTTTGTTCCTCCTGATTTACATGTACTCATTAATGCGTCTCATTTACCCATTTTGCTTTTAAAGGAACACTCCACTTTGTTGTTAAAAAGCTCCTTTAATGAGTCCCTAAACAGCTAAGTTTGACCATTTTTGAAGTCATTCAGCCAAGCTCTGGCCCATGCGGAAGCACTTTTAGCTTAGCTTAGCATAAATCATTCGATTAGATTAGACCATTAGCAACTTTCTAATTTTGACTCTTGTGTAATTATATTGTTTATAATGTCCAACGGAAAATAGAAAGGCTATGAACTATACATTCATTCAAAGTAATGATCAAGGAACTTTTGCAGCAACAGCGGACACCATGATATGCAGCACTGTTACCTACACTGAAAAAAAAAATGATTCAGAGATGATTCCTTGGATTTAAGCGGTTGTAAACAATTTATTTGGGTTGAATTTAAACAAACAAATTAGGTCGAACATTACTAAATAGAATTTGTTTAAATTGAATTTGTCTAATTAAATTAATTATAGATAATTTTTTTCAGTGTATCTGGGTAGTCACCTGCTTATCAAAACTCCTTTATTATTTTGAGGAACATGCTAATGGTCTAATTTGATTCAATGATTTATGCTAAGCTAAGCTAAAAGTGCCTGCTGCTAAAGCCTGAATTGATTAAAAATTGCAAAGCTCGACTACTTAACTCTAGGGGAGTTGTAAAATGAAAAAGGTGAATGTTCCTTTAATCAGAATAAAAAGAAAACAGCAATTTCCTGCAGCACATTTGTACTCTAAATGTGTTAAATTCACCTCAGCTCCCTTTTCTAAAGTCGTGGGCTGTGAAAGTGAGCGCTAACTGCCTTCTCGTGTACGTGATAGGGATGACGATGATAATGGTAGGGCTGTTTGTCAAGGTGTGAATAAGTCGGGTGTCAGAATGCCTGCGGTGGTCATCCATCAATGTCCTGCAGCCACATGCGCCACCATGCGCGCACTAGTGAAATGTAATCTTGCACACCGTCTTGAGCAAATTCACCCGTCACCTCTCACCTGTGGTTCAGCTCGGCTCTTTATGAATGAAAACCTATGGAGCACACATTTACCCACTTTAAACACACATATAGTCTTATGACCAACCACCACCCTCTAACATCCATGATGGATCACTTTTGTGTAAATATTTTTAAATCTAGTGTTCTGAGTGTCTTTAATATGAAAAGAATTGGAGTTATTTGGTGTGCAATGGCCACTGCCTTAGACATGACGCGTAGATGGAACAATGACTCAATATTATGTGTGTTTTAAGATTTGACACTCAGTTGAAAAGGATTCGATGGAGATCTGGGGGTGTTATGGATATAGGACACTGTCGATGTGTCCAGGACTATATGTGGTTGTACAGATTAAAGTGAAAAGAAATGGGCAAAGAAAAAAACCTGCTAGTTAAACCAGTGCAATATCTTGCAATTTTATATTGTGGTAAGACGCATGTTTGTTGTTAATCCTACCTTATGAATAATAAAGATTTTTTTTAAGTAACTGAACTTGTGGTTTGTTTTTATTCACTGACACACTTCAAGCTAGTTTAAACACTAGTCTTCTGTTGCTTGGATTCCTGCCTTATGTCTGACAACTCAGTTTACCTGTGAAGGGATGGATTTTACTCAGATTTAAAAGTGCCATGTAATAAAAAATAAAAACAACAACTCTGGAATCTGAGGACTTTCTTAAACATATTCTTGCCCTCTTTCCTGAACTTTCCTTCCCCTCTGGTAATGATAAATACTCAGTTGTGACAGGTAACGAGGTTTTGTTCAATATTTGTTATAACTTTTGATTAAATCCCAACAGATGAGTAAATCTTTTAGTCGCTGGTTAACTTTAGCAAAACAACCATCATTGCTCTTATAGGGTATTTAAAGAGAATCGCGTCTGTATCCAGACCGGCCTGTAGTGAAGAACTCTCAAGTTCAACTCAAGCTGTATAATTTGGATTTTCATCTGTACTCTTAGATTTATCCTTGAGTAATTGATATTGTGCATTTACTTCTGAATTGGCTTTTATAGTTTGATTCTGTAACTGGCATGACACACCAAGGTTATTAGTTAACGAAAACTAGAAATAAAATAAAAAAAATATTTTCATTAACTGGATGAAAAATAAAAAACTAGAACTAACTAAAACTGTATTGTGTATACTGAAACTAACTAAAATGATAGAAAATGTCCTTACTGGGCGACATACTGTATGATTTTAACTTTTTTGTTTTTGCTTTGCACCATCTCTCCGTACTGCCTGCCCCCGCAAAATGCCGCCCTGTGCGATTGTCCATATTGTCCATGCCTAAATCCGCCACTGTTTATTCTGATGATTTTAAATCTTGCACCTAACAAATATCCTAATTTACAAAAAACAGCAAAAATAAATAAATAAAAATTAAGCAATTTTAAAATATAAAAACTAATGAAAACTAGTAAGTCTACTGTACCTCAAAAAACTAACACTGGGACTTATAACTGTTTAAACTTACTGAATTTGAAAACAAAAAGTCACAACGAAATAAAACTAAAACTACTGAAAAATCCAAAACTACTATAACCTTGTGAAACACTTTCATTTGGAAAAAAAAAGTGTTAAGTGTTGATGCATTCTGAATTCTCCCGAAATCTTTTTTTTATTCAGTCGAGTATGTGAAGGCTGGTGCTACCTCTGTGTACATAATATCCAAATGAACTGGATTTTCGAAGGACATCCTGTGATTTTTAACGACCATAGCGAGTCAGGACCTTGGTTTATTATCCAAAAGACTGCGATCACTGAGCAGTATAGAGTCCTCATCGGTATACTGTGGCGTTAGGACCCACACAGACCACAGATTGAGCACCCTCTGCAGGTCTCACTAACACCACTTCCGGCAGCATCCTTGCTTTCCTGTGTGGTCTCACATCCAGGTACTAAGTGCATCCCTGCTTAGCTTCAGTGGGCGACCATGTGACAGAGAGCTAGCTGCCAGCCGAAAAAACTGATTACCCCCAATAATTTTTTTTATTATTATTGTTTAAACTGCTCTTTAAGCTGAATACTAGTTTTGCATAATATTAGTAAAACATTTTGTGGACTGTCATCACGGCAAAGACTAAAGAAAGTTATCACAATTACGTACAATTATTATGTAAAAGAATTCAAATTTCACAGGAGGCCTAATAATTTTGCCTTCGAATCTAATTATTGTGCTTAGCAAACACATTATGGACATTCTTAAAAAAAAAAAAAGAAACATTCCTACCATGCAAGTGTGACCTTTTCTGTGATGCAGTTTAATTTAAATCTGTTAAATGGGGCAAAGGAAGCATGCTTAATAAGGACATAACGACGTATTTTATCTTTTAAAACTGATGAATTCACTCTTAGGTTCATTTCTCTTGATTTAAGCATGTTAAATGGATCCCTAATGAATAGTTTTTTTTTAGGTGTTTGCTCACCCACCTGTCATGAGCTTGTTTTAGGGAATTCATTGCCTTAATGAATGTAGAAGACAGTACAAGCAAGATGGATACACCATGTTAATAAGCACAGCATGCCAGAGCTGGGCATTGACAAGATGGCAATAATGAAGCCTGTAACATTCTGGTGTGTATGTGTGTTCTTTCAGGATTCACAGAGCGTATGTTCAAGAGCTGAATGCCCACAGGCAAAGACAAGGGGGTAAAAGGTTAGCTGGCTTTCTTAAAAGCTGCCCACCATAGAGGATAATTGGACTCTGCCCTGCCATCATTTACAACTTTCTCATCAGATTCAAGATCCATAAAGAACCTGTATAAGGTAAAAAGGGGTTTGGAGTGATTGTTTTGTAACCTAATGCAATGTGTGTGGCAATCTCTGTTTTATCATTTAATCCATAATAATAAGGATGAGTGCTACTAGAGAGCTACAGCCGTATATAAATATATAAACTCAATGCATGTAGACATGTGGACAGGGTCAAGATGATCTGCTGCAGTTCCAACCGAGCATCAGAATGGGGAAGAAAGGTGATTTAAGTGACTTTGAATGTGACATGGTTGTTGGTGCCAGACGGGCTGGTCTGAGTATTTCAGAAACTGCTGATCTACTGGGATTTTCACGCACAACCATCTCTAAGGTTTGATAGACTTGACTCAAGTCCCAGAATTAATGTTATGAAGCCTTTCCTCCCTGCCTTATAAGTAACATAAATAGACTGTCACACTTGGATGGTGCATATTTTATCGTCGTGCATATAAAAAAACGGGATTCACACCAGGAGGTGTGCGGTTGAGGTCTGCATTCCCGCGGACCCAACCAGGACCCGACCAGATTTCTGCGGCGCGGGAATAAATTTCCGAATAAATCGCGGGAGCGGTCGGTAACGGGTTTATTTTGGGACGGGAGCGCGCTGTCTAGCAAAATCGCGGATATTGCTATGCGAATGAGAGAGAGAGAGCAAGCGAGCTTTGCCTGTGTGTGTGCGCTTGGTGCTTGTGTGTGTGTATGTTAGTGTGCGCGCGAATGAGAGAGAGAGAGAGAGAGCTTTCCCAGATAGCAAAATACACTCGGGCCAGTTCCGGCTAGATTCTCGCCTGCCGGAGACTTACCACTCAGCCCGGCTCCGGCTGCCGGACTCCGGATGCTTGTGGACTCACTGCCTGATTCCGGGCCAGGTGCGCTGCGGCCCTGAGCTGGCGCGACTCAGTATTTATATACCTTTATATAAAACCTTTTTGTATTACATTGGTACTTGATACATGGTATTATAAGCATTTGAGTTGATATAACAGCAAACGCCTGTGTGTCTGCTTGGTACTTGTGTGTGTGTTAGTGCGCGCGCATATGAGAGAGAGAGATCGGTCTGTGTGTGTGTGCTTGGTGCTGTGTGTGTGTGTGTGTTTATACAGACAGCTTGGCTGTCTGGACTATATAGCTGGGGGATTTTCGGTTTTGTTCTCCCCCGCTCTTTAGGGGGATCGGGCGCGGCGGGCAGAAAACGGGGCGGGTCGGGCAGCGGGACAATAAATTCTTAATATAAGCGGGAGCGGTCGGGTTCGGGCTAAAACCTGGCGGGTGCGGGCGGGAGCGGGATTCAAAATTCGGTCCCGCGCAGATCTCTAATGTGCGGGAATGGTTCTCTGTGCAAATGTATCTGTTTATACACCAATATTGGACAATAGAAGATTGGAAAAAACTTTGCCTGGTCTGATGAGTCTCAATTTCTGCTGCGACATTCGGATGGTATGGGTTAGAATTTGGCGTCAACAAGATGTTTCAATAGTTCAGGGTGGTGGTGTAATGGTGTGGGGAATATTTTCTTGGCATTAATACCAATTGAGCATTGTGTCAACACCACAGCCTACCCGAGTATTGTTGCTAACCATGTCTATCTCTTTATGACCACAGTGTTACCCGTCTTCTGATGGCTACCTCCAGCAGGATAACACGCAATGTCAGAAAGCGCGAATCATCTCAGACTGGTTTCTTGAACATGACAATATATCATTGCTTGTAGGCTATTAGACTGAGATTTGGCAAAGTAGCCTTTTTATTTTGTTGCAGTGATTAGCCTACTATTGTCCTCCTTTGTAAACTGCAGTGGATAAAAGCGTCTGTCAAATAATTAAATGTAGCTAAATGTAGATGGTATGACCTGGGCCACTTATCTGAATCAACCTATTACCTTTTGAATAATTCCGGTTCACATGCTAAATAATCTGATTAGGCCTATATTAAGTTTAGGTCTTTCTAATGACCCACAACCACGGTTTACTCACGATCTGTTTACCTTCTATCAAAATCCACAGGCTTTCCTTTCATTTCCTTCACCATTTCCTTGGCACACAGCATTAGTAGAGCTGAAATCCCAATACCCCGCTCTATTTCTCTTCTCCACGGGCTAATTTATGGCTCTCAGCAACTGAACTTTCACACTATTTGCCTGGCAGGCAACATCAAGTCAGCACACTGTACAGGTTATGGGTGTGCATGCACATTCATCACACCGAAAAAGGCTCATTAAATGTGGCGCGTGGTACCAGAGAGAGCAATTAGCCTATAATGCAGCTTCCACCTGCCATTCTTCTATGCCACACTATAAGCAGGTAAAACTAATTGCTAACATCTAATATCAGATCGAACTGATGAAAGCATTTATTACGTATCCTATTATCTAGTTCGCCCGAGTCAGTCTAGAAGGTTAACGTTCAGCATGTGGCTCGTGCTCGCAAATAGCATGCAATGATTCATGCGGCGGCGTCCAAACTTGTCACATTTAAATTGAATCAATAGGCAGTGAAACCTCTCCTTCCTTTTCATTTCTTAGAGAAAACTTGGAAGTGGAAAAAGTGAGAGGACTGGGGAAAATAAATTCTGAAAAAGGGGAGAATTATTGCCCCCTGGGGCCCTGCTCCCCCTTCGCTTTTCTTCTCAAATCCATTTGGCCTGGTCCCCCCATTAGGCTGGCTGTCAGGCAGGGGATGCTGGGATGGGCGGCCGTGTAGAGAGAGGCAGGAGTGGAATGAATTTACCC